TGAGGACGAGCAGCGCTTTCTCAGTCTTCTGAGGGTTGATAAACCTCTTGATAGCCTCCACGAAAATGCTGAACATGAGCGCCGTGGCAAAGACTGAGTTGCCGAAAGCCCCCAGCACGTCTGCCCGGCTGAAGCCGAACGTGCTGGCCTTGTGCCACTTGACGCGGCTGAACCGGACGCCGACCAGCCCGATGATCATGGAGATCAAGTGGGAGAGAACAGCGAAGGCGTCTGAGGCCAAGGAGAGAGAATTGCCCACATAGGCGACCGAGATCTCAATGGCAAAAATGGCAAGGCTCACCACACACATGAGGATGAGGCGGCTGCTGCGGCCTGAGTAGCGGCCCATCCCTGTCCCTTGCTCCCAGGATCTGCGGAGACAGTGCTGAGTGGGGAGCAGCTCCCTGCCCACAATCCTGCCCTTCAGCTGTCAGCGCTGCTCACGCCTGGGAGCTACTTTTATAAGAAGCAGTAAAACAATAAATCAGTTTAAAGGGCAGTTCGGCGAGATTTGTCATGTGAAGACACTGGGAGGGCTCCAGTCCTGCAAGTGTCCCACCCTCAGGAGGCATTTTTTCCTACAAAACCAAAAATAAACCTAGGAAGACTACTGGGAGTACCAGCACTTGCTACTACACTGTGTCAGTATCCTGAAAAACCGAGTAAGGCCCAGACAGGAGTGCATAAGAAGGTGGCTCAGAATTTTAAGTGGTTAGAAAAGATCTCTCTTTTGCATAAAACTCTCCTCTCATATCTGTTCCTGCCATTTCTGTTGCCAGTAATTTTAGTACTGAAAAAATCTTACTATACACCTGTGCAAAAAGACATTTGAAATCCACGCTGGGTGGACATGATTTTTAAGAGCACAGTGAACATGAACTGCTTGTGAGACTCACTGAAGATGTTGTCCATAGAACAGTTTTCAAAGACAACTGCACTGATGCATCTTCCATTTTAGCAACCTAATAAAACAACTATACAACAACTTTTTGTATTTTAGCACATTTTAACATTGCTTATGTATATGGAGAAATTTGGGAAGCCATTTTCTAAACAAACTGCCAGTAGACATGGAAGCTGAGGTTTAACAATAAACCCAAAGCACATTGTTTTTTCCCATTTTGAAAAACTGTCTCAAAGTAATTCTTTTGCTTGCACATAAAAGTCAGATTTGGGGAAACCACAAGCAGAAGTTCAAGCTGCTGATGTCCTATCTTGTACTTTGTGCCATTTCTGGAAAATAGATCCTGAAGCAGTGACATTATTTGTCACTCATTGCAGTACCTGTTGAACTCTGAGCGCCCCCCATATTAACACAAACTCACAAACTACCACTAATGGCACACCAGGCAGTATGGGCCATAAGACCAGGTGTTTTCCTTGAAAAATTTATGATCCAGCTTTTTATTTAAAATGCCTATATGTGTATATATATGCACACAGTTAGTTATGAGGTAGGACAGAAGGAAATTACATGAATTACATGCAGTACAGCCATGGAGAGATAAGATAATATTGATAACCCGAGCTTACCAAATGTCCCTGCTGGCCTTAGGATTCCCAAGGTGAATTAACTTTAAGTTAAAAACAAACACCCACCCCCACTTTTCATCTGGATTTTTGCTCACAGGGTTTCAACAGCCAAAATATTTATGTTCAAAGTCCAATTTGTTAGAAGCCTTTCCTGCCAACATACATAACTTTTAACATTTGGTCATTTGCCTACCTACACACTGCAGCTGCAACTCAAGGGTTCCCCTCCTCCTGCAATTTTAAGAACACCATTAAACCTGGAAGGGTGGATTACTAGAACTAATTACAACATTGAAAACTGGCACTTACTCATCTTCCTTTTCATCTTCTCACACCTGTGTTACCACTTCGACCCTGGCTATTTCCACTGTGTTTTTCTTTCCCTTCTTGCATTAAAGTGATGTTTAGTGACTTATTTTATTACCCGAACTACAGAGCATGGAAGGTGAGAATTTTTTTTTCAAGTTCTTCTCCTTTCAATGGGTACAAACTACGGTCAAGCTCCAGTGGCCTCAAAAGCCCTGCCTTACACGAGGCTGTGATTACCAAAACACAAGATAAATGAAGCACTCCCTCTGCAGCAGAGCTAAAATGTTCACCTGTGCTCTCTTCCCAATAAGGAGCTGCTACTGCGATGTTAAGGCACTTCCCTTACACCCCCTTTACAATTTAACTCAAATTTAGCAGTACATAAGAACTAAAGAACACCAGAAATTTTGCAATTCTATTATAAACACAAAGCAGTATCACTTAATCAACAGCAGTGTATATTATTCCTGATATACTATTATACACTGTTATTATATTGTTATATTATTATACACTTTATAACAGTGGTATATTATTCCAATTCATGTAACTATTTTTCTTACAGACAGAATTTACTCAGGGTCTGAAAGATTTTTTCTATAATGCTTCACAGATAGCTCAGATTGTGCTTTTGGCAAAAGGATGGTTGATATGGATGTTATCTTTCCCAGGCAAATATTAGTCTCCTTGTGGAAGATCATCACAGGGACATCTGCATGTGAGGTACCAACATTTCAGACGCTTCAAGTCCTATTATGACCAGGAAGAAATATATTTGGGAAACATAAGAGGGGGGAAGAAAAAAGAAAGAAGGCTGGCCTTCTGTAAAATCTGTCTTCAAACAAACCTATTTGTAGGCTCATAGCAACTAATTTCTAAGAACAGTGTGCCAACATGTTTATTCAAAGATTTGATCCAGTCTACTGGTTGAAGGTTGGCTGTTTGTTCAAACTGATAAGGTCAGAAGATGCGTTTAGTTTTGCCTTTCCTTTTTTCTGAGTTACTAAGAGCTTCCACATCTGATTTTTAAAATATGGGTGTTGTAGAGCATTTCAGTGGGAGCTGGGAGTGCTCATTTATTCTTAAAAATCTGGTTTGCTCTGCCAAAAAATCTGGGCACATTCCTGCCTCTTAGACATCCCCCTCCAGGCTACTCTTAGTCACCCACTATTTCAGGCTGTGAAAACATCACTCTGGCATTATTGCTCACTCTCCTTCTCAAAGTACAATGCCAGCCAGCATTAGAGGCAGCACACCAGGATAACAGACCTTAGGGCCACTCATCTGCTTTGTTAACTGTATCCAAAGATACATGCACAGACAAATGCTTCCCTAAATCCTTTGCCCATTACTACACCTGGGAAAATATCTACACAAATGGAAGACAGATGATTTTAAATTGCAATTGAAGCAAATCCTTCAGGACTAATCATAAACCAAAGACTATTACAGAGAATTTCCAAGTTTCAAGCACTCTGAGCAAGCTGATCTGAAATATTTAATTTTTTTTTTACTTTTCTGTGGAAAAACTGGGGCACAAGGCACACAATCTTAAATTGGACGAGCCAGGTTCAAATTTTAATATTCAAAATTTTGACTAGGAAGGCTGACCCCAGGAATCTGGGGAGAAGCAAATATTCTGCATGTCTGAAAAAGAGAGATCTGGCAATAGCACTCTAAGTCTCCTGCATGCTTTGGCTGCTATGGCTGCTTCATAAAAACAGCTTTTTGGAAACAGGCAGCCGTGTTGTGTTGGGCCAGGAAGAGTTTGGGGAGAATCTTACTGGTCCAACTTTTTAATGACCAAGTTTTCACTATACTCTTTTCAGGGAAAGGTGTTCATGTAGACAGCCTTCAACGATACAGGAGCAAAGTAGTAAATCAAGTGTGTGTCATCTAACCGCTGTTTTGTGCCAGGGCCACCTCTTTATTTTTAGAAGCCAATCTTGTGCTCAGTGGAAGTGATGTTATTTTTAAAATGATTTCACAACTCTGTAACATCCAGCCTCCTCTGCTAGAGCAACACTTGGTAAGTGTAGGAAAAGCAAAAAAGGTTTTATGAAACATGCTGTAGATATAACCACAGGCTAAAATCTCTAGCACTGAACTTAACTCTCTTCAGACTGCCTTTGCATTACTCATCGCAGTATCACTGTCAGACAGGCATTAAGGCCAGTTTGCAAAAGAAGAAAAACAGAGCTTGGCAAAATATCTGCAAGAAATAGCCACCACCTGCACCTTGCTACAAGGTGTCATTTAATCTTTCAAACTTGCTTAATAAGGGGGTGAAAATCTGGGAGGTGATTCTTTCCATCTACCTCTGCTCTTGTGAGACCCCACCCAGAGTGCTGTGTCCAGCTCTGGGGCCACCAACATAAGAACAATGTAGAGCTATTGGAATGAGTCCAGAGAAGGGTGATAAAGAGACCCACAGATATGGAGCACCTGTCCTGTGCAGACAGGCTGAGAGTTGGGGTTGCTCAGCCTGGAGCAGAGAAGGCTTCAGGGAGATCTTAGAGCACCTTCCAGTACCTAAAGGAGCCTGCGAGAAACCTGTAGATGGACTTACAAGGGTAGGTAGTGATAGGATAAGGGGGAATGGTTTTAAATGGAAAGAGGGCAGGTTCAACAAGATACTAGGAAGGAACTCTTGACTGTGAGTGTGGTGAGGCACTGGAACAGGTTGTCCAGGGAAGTTGTGGATACTCCATGCCTGGAAGTGTTCAAGGCCAGGCTGGATGGGGCTCTGAGCAACCTGGTCTAGTGAAAGCTGTCCCTGTCACAGCAGGGGAATTGGAACAAGATGATCTTTAAGGCCCCCTTCCAAGCCATTTATGATTCTATGTTTTTATGAAAATATTCCTTGAAAGACCTGGCTTTCAAGGGGAGTTTTCTAAAGGTAGTAATTACTATGCCTACAGCTTAGCAGCATAGCAGCAAGTCTCTACTGAAAAATTTGAAGGCAAAATTAAAAGCAGATGTTTTATCTAGAAAGTAGATGCTGAAGTGCACTGTAGTTTTTATGACATTCTCTCCAACCTTTCAAGCATTTTCCCAATGTACAAGGAAATACATGCACCAAACCAGAAAAAAAGACATGAGCAAAGGATACCTATTCCTCCCTACTAAGCAACACAGAAAAAATCCACCACAGCATGTTACAGCTCACAATACATCTTTATTTTATTGGAGATGTTTACAGAAAAATCTGTGAATTACTGCTAGCCTAAGACTGACCATTAGGGAGCCAGGTTATGGTTTATGGCTTTGTCTTTTAATTATTTAAAAATGTCACAAAACCGATTGAAGTTTAAGGGGCTATTTCAGTCTTATTAAAAAAAGTTCAATTCACAGATAAAGGAGAAGGTTCTTTCACTAGTGATTTAGTAACTACGACCAAAGAGGGTGTAGAACTTGGCAGGGTTTTTGCCGCACACACATCTTGCTCCAGGCTGGAGTTCACGGAGTGGCTGGAAAGGTATGCAGAGGCTTTTTGCTCCCATGGATGGAGCACCAGGCTCAAGATCTTGATCCCTGAAATAAAAGGATATTAATAAATAAAGATATTAAAAATAAAAGTGCAATAAAGTGTATTATACATAAATCTTAAAACCACATTAATTATTCTGAAAGTTCCAGAGTTAAGGAAGTAAATATACTGAATTATGTAGGACAGCAGGAGTCTGTACATAAGTGTTATACCCAAAGGCATCTTGCATTCCTGTTTTATATTCAAAATATTTTGATTTTGATCTTGGTATATACTCTCCAGCTCAGTTATATTTTACCTGGCAGTGGTCTTCTTGATCCAATCCTCACACTCAATTTCCCCACAGAAAGGGATTTGTACAATCTGAAGGGAGGAGGGGAGAGAGAAAAACCCAACAGTTATACATGTAAAAATATCTTTGTCTTTGGAAGATTCCTAAGACCTTCAGATCTCATATACAGATCTCAAGCTGGGAAAAGTTCCAATTGTTACAAGTGAATTTTAATAGCTCTTCTTCAGAGCAATAGATAAGCCCAGCCATCCCTCCACAGTGCAGTATGGAAAATCTTACACAAACCCAAAGCACCATTTAAATTTTTTTAAACCAAATATATCTTTCTTCTGTGCAAAGTATAAACACTCTTTTTTTATCAAATGTTCTGTTTTTCAGGAACAGTTTAAAATTTTCAAACTACTGAGCAAATGCTCACCTTATACACTGTAAAACAGTGCCCTAACAAGTTCCAATTTAAATTCTGTTACTATGAATTTTCATTTTTTCTGAGCATACATTATTTCAAGAAAACAGAACTGCCAACAGCACTTTTTTTCTGGGGGGGTGTGGGGGTGGGTGTGGGTGTGCAGCCTCCTGCTCTTTCCTTCACTTAGCTTAACTGAAGAAAATTGAGAGAGTAAGGCTGAAATGATAATGTCACACACTCTGTACTACTCTTAGCTATTGGAGCAGATCTCTTGCCCCTGGTTTTACCTTCAATTTTACCGACTTTTAAATGGACTTCCACAGAGAAAATTCAGTTTGCTACCAAGAGGTAGCATTACTGTAAAAAAGACACACCCTACACACATCTGAACACTCATGAAATGCTGATAGCTGAGGGCAACCTTAGCTACTAAATTCAGCCTTCATTCATTGTAACTCTATCCAAACTGTGAATAAGATTCACTCAGTGCATCTTTCTTTCACCTAATTCACATTCTTACTGCAAATGTCTCAATTTGGCATTAACTGGAACACACCTTTAGTAGACTTCACTTTATAGCTTCGCTTTCTTGCAACTGAAAAAAGGAACTATTACCACTCTACATCACTGTTCTTGCATGAATCTTTTGTTGGTGAAATGAAAAATAGTCCACATTTTTAAAGAGCTAAGAGTCTGCAATTCCATTAAGGGAAAAACAGCAGCAGGAATTAAACAGAAGCACTTATTTCATCTTTAAAAATTTTTCTCTTACACAGCAGTCAGTGCTAACAGAGTGCAATTTTAAGTAATTCAGAATACATATGCTATAAAATTATGTTAGTACAACAAAAATAGGTAGAGAGTGAAACAAAGACCAAATGGCATCTTTTTTTGATTTTTTTTTCAATTCAGATATGCAGTTCATAATAAATTCATATAACCTAAGTACCAAAACAGTGGAAGTAACCAACATGGAATGTAAAATTATTTGTTCACATTTCCAAGCTTAACTGCATTTAGATTATATTAGAATTCTAAACATTATAAAAACAGCTTTATTCTCTTTGTCACATCTAGAATCTAGCTGCACACAACAGTGAGTGCTGGACATTGCTAACTCAGTTCCTCCTCTGAAGTTCATCATTATTCCTTTAAATTGTGTTCTAAATTGAATTTAAGTGCAATAGAAATACAAGAAAATAGTATAATGGAAGGTCAAGCCTAACCAGGAATAACTTAAAATTAGTTTTGAAGTTCAACAGAGTATTTATAGATTCTTGGCACTTGTACATTTTTCATTAGGAATTTTGAAATTCTCAGAGTGGATCTACTTGATACACAACCCACTGATCTCTCTTTAAAAAATAAACAACCTTACTAACAAATGTTGGGGATCCTACCTCTTGAACACACTAATCCAAACAAATAAAGAATTTCCCAATCTGATCTGTGACAGAATTTCAGGGTTAAAAAATCTGGTCAGCAGTTCTTTGTAAAAGAAACAGCTCAATTCTGTGCTGAAAACTTAATCTCTCATCTAAACTTCAATAGCTTTTCACAGATGTTTAGATCAGTAGAGCTCACTCATCCACGTGATTGGTTATTTTTACTATAAATCCAAGGAGGTTTCTGACTTGCAGTAATTCTTAGTGAACCTAATGGCTTCTACTCAGGTCATAAAGGTAAAACTTCCTTGACGTAAATAGCTTGTACTTTAAACTCTTACCTGGACCCTTATATGAGACTTAAGTGTTTTGTCACTGCATTAGAATAATGACAGTGAGGTTATTGTAACCTGAATGAAATGTTTACATTACTCTCTCTTAAAAGCATACTCGGATAAAACCATTACTTGTAATGGATAAAAAGGGTGTGAAGCACAAAAATACAAGTGGTTAATCCCCTTACCTTTCCTGAATCAAGCTCTTTCTGAAAGTCCTCCATATTACTGGCCACCACCATATGACTTTTTAGGTCTTCGGATGCTCTAAGAAAAGGGAAAAAATTCAGTCAGGGCAGATTTATTCAAACAAACTCACTGGCCCAATGGAGCTGAGTTTTCAGAGCCAGTCAAACCAAAGGTTACAAAAAGAGCTATATATTCATTAAAATCTTCCTAATCAGGTTATGTCTTTCTACCACTGATCCCCAAGGAGGTAAAATTTTGATTAATTGCCGATGGGTTGCTGCATATTTCACTGTGCTCACTCATACTGTTGTGCCCAACAGTTAAACACTGACCTGAAGCAGACAGAAATAAATACTATAGATGTCCTAGGTTGAGAAATTTGGGAAGTTGGGGTCAAACCAATCAGTGCTTAGAATTGAATATTAGCACCTAGTTTAGTCACTGAAAACATGGACCGCCTCTGAGAACAGGGGATTAAAAAGCAGAGAACTCCCAAAAAAACTCTCTTGGTCCCAGTCAGTGAAAGAAGTCAGGCCTCCCCTGCCCAGCTAGGGCTGGGTGGGGAGGGGAAGCCACCGGTGAGGTAGGCCGGAGCCTTGGGCAGAGGAAGAAGGCAAAGGCTTTGCAAGATGAAAAAGTAGAAGAACATTAAGAAGCACCAGACCCCCCACACCCCGCTACCCCCTGGGAGAGAGACAGAGAGAGAGAGAGAGAGAGCCAGTGCCTGTGCTGCCTTAAAATTTGATATCATGTGCTAGCAGCACGACTGGCCAGAAGTGACTGGCCCCTGTAAGAGTTCTAAGCAGACAAAAGCAAAAAATTTAACCCTTTTCTTAAATAAGAAAAACCTTACAAATACTGATCCTCCTTAATCTGAATGAGGAAAGAGAGAAATAAAACAAAAAGAAATAAGTAAGTGTGATGAAAGTCAGTGCAAGTAAGAAATGTCAGAAGAGTTAAGCAGAATCCTAGGTGAGAAGAAATGATGGAATAGCCTTGAGCTAGACTCTTTTCTTGCATAGCCATAAACAGACCCATGTTTTTCCTGTAACACAAAAACTACATTTAGGGGGAAGCAATGCCTTAGAGCCAAAAAAGTACGGTGAAGCGGTAGTGTAAACAAAGACAGCTGAAGGTGTAGTAATGTGCCCCATCTTCAGCGAAGAAAAGAATGTTCACGAGGTACCTCAGCCCCAAGAAGTAAATTTAAAAAGGACTATGTCCCGAAGCGGAGAAACTGTTGTTTTTTTTAAAACAGAGCAACACATCCTTAAAAAGAGAACCCTAAAACAATTCTGGTCCATACGCAGTAGTGAAAACATGAACATAAAAAGAAAAAGTCACGAAAACAAATGTTCTCCGAACAGTGCCACAAATAACATGAAGACACAAAAGATTTCAACTGTGTTTCTAAAAAAAGCCTATAGTGCAAAAAGCTCCTCTCTCCCTAATAAACTAGAAGTTAATTATTTAACAAGTCGTGACAGACTGAAAGCTAATTATCTAAAAGATAGTAACTACATAAAAATCTAAAGTTTTATTTCATGCTGTAGAAGAAATAAGAGGAAGAAGAACAATATATTTAGAAACTTTTCATTCTAAATTCTGTGTCTGTTCCTTTATAGATAGGGTAGTTAATAAAGTTGTTTTTTCCTTTACTCCTAAGTTAAAGCCTACTTTGCTCTATTTCTGATCACATCTCACAACAGCCACTAAAAAAAATATATTTTCATGAAGGCACTAGCATCGTGCCAGCGTCAAACCATGACTGATGTGTATTTTGCTTTTTAAATTATTTTCTAAGTCTAAATCCCAAGATGCTTTTGAGCTAGGTAAAAATATTCTGCCTGTAAACAATTTTGATCATCAGAGAAGGAAATAGAAAAGCTCATCTGCCACAGTGCTGTGTCAACACCCTGTTCTTCTCAGTGGACTTACGAGCAACAATCTGCAGTGAGAAACCTGTGAGGGATTTTGGCGTTTGCAGTAAGGGCAAAAAACAGTTTCAAAAGTATTTGATTGCTTACAAGAAAACAATCCTGTGAAGGTCCATAGGGTCTTAAAATACACTTCTGGACACAGAACTTCAGCTACTGAAATTACTTGGACAGCTTTGTGTCTTTCAAAATTCTGCACCAAAAGCATCTTTCACAAATAAGTCCTGTACATAGGATCATGAAATTATTTAGGCTGGAAAAGATCTCTAAGATCATTGAGTCCATCCACTAAGCCAACACTGCCAGACCTACCACTAAACTATGTCCATAAGCACATTTATGTTTTCTGAACACTTCCATGGATGAGTATTCCATTAGTTGTTGGGCAGCCTGTTTCAATGCCTGACCACAGTGGCAGTCAATACATTTTTTCCAATGCCCAATCTAAACCTCCCCTGGCTCAACCTGAGATCATTTCCTCTTATTCTGTCACATGTTACCTGAGAGAAGAGATCAACTCTCACCTGGCTACGTCCTCCTTCCAGGCAGTTGTAGAGAGTGATAAGATTCCTCCTGAGTTTCCTCTTCTCCAGAAGAAACACCCCATCCCTCCCTCAGCCACTCCTCACAGGATTTGTGCTCTACACCCTTCACCAGTTCTGCTGCCCTTCCTTGGGCAGTGTTAAGGTCACTAGTCACATAATGACCAATGGGTCACACCTATTTATGGTGTGTGTATGGTGTACTTATTTATTAATAATACATGTGAACTCAATGATGTATTTTTTAAAGTAAGTTCACAACCTCTTACCTTTCATTTCATAAGAACAACAGGCAGCTCCTATCGCTGAATGTGAAGGAGTTTAAGAGGTAGAAAATTATATGACACAAACAGGAAGATGAGCCTAACCTGTCTTTCTCCACAGACAAACCATTAACGTGAGAAATTCTTCTGACAGATGAAGGGCATCTGTGATTAGCAGAGCCACTTACTGTAACTCTTAGTCTACCTGCTGTAAAGGTTTGCATGGATCTCCTCCAAGATCTGCTTAAGTTTCTCTTCTGCTTCATGTTCAGATAATGTCAGCTTTTGCCCTGTGTCTCTTCTAACAGCAACAAACTGTTGGCTCTTCATGTCTCGTGGTCCCACTTCAACTCTGACTGGGACACCCTTTGTGGAAAAAAAATTAGAAGTTATGATGAAGAAGTAATTCTCAGAAGAGTTCATTTTCTCACTCTGTGGCTTTTTGTTGTTTTAGAGTCCAGTTTTAATATAGGCTCACTTGATACATTTAAGTTTCTTTGGAAAAAAGAATCACAATATATTGCAAAGCTTTTATGCATTTCTGTATTTCTCATCCACATTCTTTTCACTTGTGCATTCTACCTCACTTCACTAGCTTGAAGACTGTATCAGTGCCAGCATGCAAGTAATACTGAAGCACCGCTGAAACTGCACTAAGTTATCCCACATAGTGCAAATCAGATTTTTAAGTCTGAACAATTAAGACTTAATTCTACAGCAATTATAATGTTCTAGTTCACCCAATAATACATTTAATTCTGTTTTCAAAGAATGCTTTCAATGGCATTCAACAGGTATTGTTTTAGCAGCAAAAGTTCTGTTAAGTACAGCTCTAATATCAACATTAATTGCATTACAATTAATGCAAACAGCTAATTGCTTTAGCAAAGCAAATCATTTCAAGTAAGTCAGAGTTTATCAAAGTTTATAAACTTTGGTGGTAAAATGTAATTTCTCATCCCCCACACACAACCAGACAAAAAGATTTTCCATGTTACTGAAAAGAGTCAGTTAAGAGTCTACCATGTAACTTATTTTCTTTACATCCTAACATGTATCCCAGAGTGTACTCATTCTTTCACAGGAAATGAAAAGAGTGCATAAAAATACATTTTGGAGGATTGTTCCCCACCCCCTCTCCCCCAAGGAAACTGAATCAGTAGGCTTATAAGCTAAAACCATTCTACAGTGTTCAAGAGATGAACAGGAGAATCAGAACCTGTACCAAGCTTTCTATGCATTGTGTACTCTGGAATCTCCTCAGGTTCACAGCTTCCAAGTGATTCCCTATACTCCCTCTGCCCCAACTACCTTAATTATGCTAAAAAGGTGAATAATACAGTAAGATACAACTGACCAATGAACTATCTACTACTGCTGCAAAGCTACACAAAAAGCTACTCAAAACTATGATTAACAAGCAATTCAAACTGAACAGTCTAGTTTATGCCCACAAAGCATTGTTTCCATAATAAAAACTTGGAAGGGAGTATTCAGGACTTCTAATTGTAATACTGCTGAGTAAAAGAACAGTTCATGGTCCCTTAAGCAGACTTCCCAAGAAAGCAGTGGAACTAATACCAGACAATACAAAAAAAGTACCACTGACTTGGTTTTTTTAGGAAGTAACATCAGAAGTCTGCTAAGCTGACAAGTGCATAAGGCAAAATATTTTCCAGTTAATTCCTTTACTTCTTATTCCAGCACCTTTGTATTTTTTACCTGAAATTCCTTATACACTCAATAAAAGGAGTGTATTGTTCCTGCAATGAGCCTGAAGATGCAGTTTAGGTATTATGCTGGACTGGTATTATACTACATTAGTGTGTATATCTATATATATATATAGATATAGATATATGTACACACACATTATTATACTAATGTGTATTATCTACACATTAGTACATTTTATGAAAAACATCAAGTTTACCCTGTGCTATGTGCCTCCTTGAAAAACCTAGTTTTATTTAGAAAGTTTTCCAACATGGCTTCACAGTACTAGAGCTTCAATAAAAAAAAAAAGGTTACACAAAGGGAAGAGAACTTTGAGACAACAGAAACTTTGAACAATTTGGGTCACTTCTATCAGGTTACTATGAAGATTAACATATTGAAACTGATTTTAAATTCAGAATAAAAATATTATTCCATAACAACACTCAACACATCATTCAATTTTTAATTACCATTATTACCACTGTTTTAGTCTGCTCACTATTTCTGTTATTAGAGGAAGCAGAACTGTTCCTCTCAAGTGCTATATGAGGGGAACATGGCAATATTGAAACAAAAAAATTTGCTCCTTTCGTTTCTTACACTGCAGGTTTATTTTCTCTGTTCTGCTGTATTCACAAAAGGCTATGCTGTGAGTCAGGACACACTGAAGTATCAGTACATATTTCTAAAAATGCAAGTAATTTATGGTCCTAATTTGAATTTCTAGGTATATAAGTAGAGCCCTGGAGGTTTAAAAATCCCTAATGACATGCAAATCCTAGAAAACAGAACAAGTCTTCAAAAACACCATTTCTTCATCTATTCACAAAAATGATCACTGACTATCAGGCAGCAGATTTTAATTTACAGAACACATTTGCCTTCAGAACACAGGGCACACATAGCATACCTCATATATTCTCCTCACCTAGGCTTCAAAACCTCTCTTGGAAAGAAAAGTACCTTAAGTTCCCAGTGGTTGAACTTCCAGCCAGGTGAGTAGTTGTCTCTTAAATCAGCCCGGACACGGACGTTGACAGCAAGCAGCCTGCTACGATATTCATTACATTTCTTCAACAGAGCTTCTCTGTCCTCTTCAGAAAGGGAGTTTGTGATACCACAGGGAATAATTACAACCTGCAATAGAACAGGACATGTACTTTATGCTACAAAAAAAATTAGCTCATAGTTATAAAAAACTTGAAACCAATATTGTGGCCCTAGATTCCAGTAATTGCCTTCATGCCCTCAGAAATGAAGGACACATTTCCCTTTTCATACTAACGGCACAGATAACATTACTTCAAATGGATGAACTGTCAAAGGGGACTGGTCCACCACAAGTATCCTAATGATTTTTATTAACCTCACACAGCTACTCTGTAACTAGGCAGCTCCATCCTGAATTAAGTTTTCCAGTTGCCCGATATGAAATACTTATTAATTCCAAGACAAGAAAGGAAACTAAAAACAGTTTAAGGTATTTTTACACACCTGAATACAGGCTACACGAGGTGGGAGTACCAATCCCATGTTATCTCCATGAATCATTGTCATTACACCAATAGTCCGAGTTGTAATGCCCCAGGAATTCTGGTAAGCAAACTGTTTTTCGCCTGGCTTCTTGGGATCTTCAAACACAATTTCAAACATCTTTGAGAAATTCTGCCCTAAATGATGTGATGTTGCACCCTGAAATAGATGCACACAGAAAATTCTATTCAATGAAAATCTAAGTCTATCAAGCGTCAGTTTAAATATTTCATCTTCCTATATTTAATGAAATAAATAATTATTTTAATAGCTAAATACCTGGATAGCTCTTCCACTGGCAGATATAAATGCCTCTAAAGTGGTTGTATAATCCCCCCCAGCAAACTTCTCCTTCTCCGTCTTTCTTCCTTTCACAACAGGTATTGCCAAGAGATCCTCATACACCCGAGCATAGAGATCAAGTATCTGCAGCACCTATGATGAACAAACTATCTTCAGAATTACTCAGGATTTTGCATTTGTTACATCATGAAATATTTTTATGTGACAGAGTCTGAAATCTTTAAGATTTAACACTTTCTCAAGACTTTGTTTAGAAACTAAGATTTCTTCAATTACTTTGGATGTTTTTCTCCCTGAACGAAAAAGCAACAACTGTAAGTCATGACAGAAAACAAGAAGAAAGTTATAAAACTGGGCAAAGAAAGTTTTAGAACTTCTAGTAGTAAACACATGGATGCATTATTTAAATTTTTAATGAAAACTGATTTTTAAGTATTTTAAAGAAAAATAATTTTTAGGGTAAGCACACACTTTATATCACACGCTTCTAACTTTCCATATTGTTTGTAAAGAACGAAGCCTCAGAAATGCGTTGCTTCTGAGAAAAAAATGGGCTCTAATAAACTTGGCATTTTTCACAAGGGCTCTCAAAAAAAAAGATTTCCTTGAGGTCTCAGTACTAAGATTTGTGTTGCTATGGAGTAAGGTAACTTCCTGAAAGGAGAAGCACCAGTGCATTTGTTTTTACCTCCTCTGCTGCTTCTTCATATGTTGCAAATGCTGTGTGACCCTCTTGCCAAAGGAACTCACGAGTGCGAAGGAAAGGCTGGGGATGTTTGAACTCCCAGCGCTGGAGGGGCAGAAGCATAAAAATGTAACACCATGAAGCATCAAATTTTTGTTACAAATAATGTTTATAAGCAAGTACTAGAAAATCCTCAATAAAGATAAAAAAGCCAACTACTCACAGATTCCTATTTAATACAATCAACTACACACATTGATAAAGAATGTTTTATTAGAAACACTGAGAAAAACATATCATATAAACTATGGTAATAATTTTGCTTTGAAATATGTGCTGTGATCATTATGATCATGCCAAGTCCACAGAGAATAACTGTCCTACACTGCACTTGTGATAAGAAGAGGTACTCAGGAATTGTGTACACATACCACAACACTGCACCACTGATTAAGCTTGATAGGAAGATCCCTGTGTGACTGCACCCACTTTGCATAGGAAGGATACATTACTGAAAAAAAAAAGCAGCTTTGAGTCTCCACACAATAAAGACACGCCAAACTTTTCCTTTTGGTACATATAAGCTTAACATTCTCTGCTGTGAGAATTATGCTTTTATGTTTCATTTCCTTTAAAATATATTTTTTTGTCTTAATACATAATATTTTCACCAGAGTACTTCCACTTCATCCCGAGTCTCTGCAAAAGAGCTTGGCTGCTGCTGCTCAAAGTACAATCCAAAGCTTATTATTTAATGACACTGGGTTTGATCCCTGGCTTACAGTATGGTAAATACACCTGGGTTCACAAATAGGAACTACCTGACCTCAAGATTTTAGGATGCTATGCTAGACTTGACTCAATTAAAAACTCATCCAGCCTTATGTCTTAAAATGCTTGTATAAATTACTCAGATGAACAATTACAGTCAAAACACATGCAAAACTGAAGTGAATTATGAGTTGAAAAAAATTCTTATAAACATTATAAACCAAACAATCAAATGTGTTCAGACAAAGTAAATCAGTTGTTCAGAATATGAACAACAAAATTCCTGAAATGTCTGCATTTTCTAAAAGTGCCTATTTAAGGGAACATATAATGTGGATTTCCTATGCGCAGCAACAAGATTAAGAAATTTTCCTAAGGAGTTACAGAAAACATTCTGAAAAGTGGGGGCTTCCACTTTTCAGAAGGGACTCTTGTCTATCAGCTACACTATACATAGAACTTCACATATAAGTTTATAGCCAAACTACATGAAAACAGACCCACCTGTTTCACTTGTGGGACGTATAGCAATTGGTTCAGCCAGTTCTGTTTTCCCAGATCTTGTGACCCAAGCAACCTAAAAAAAGGAGAAAATAAAAAAAAAAATCAAACAAAACAAGTTTGGAAAAAAATCCTCTAGCCCCAAACTTACTTTCATATCCAGCTGCAGACTAAATGGTTGGGTTTTCTTACAGTCAGATTAAAATGAAGTTTTGAAGCGTACCTCAGGAGCAAAGTCAGCAATATGAGACTTCTCTGTCTCTAGGGCAGCCTGGGACACGAACATGGGGAAGTAGCAGTTTTCCACTCCAAGTTTCTTGATCTCTGCATCAAAGAAGTCTTGGATGGCTTCCCAAATAGCATGAGCCCAAGGACGAAGAATGTAACAGCCACTCACATCGTAGTATTCAATCATCTCTGATTTAGTGATCACCTTGCAAAAGATTAATCAGAGGCTGAAGTTTCAGCTTGTACACAGAGAACATTCAGTAATTCAAGTGTGTGTCACGCAACTCAAGAGAAGTCTCCTACTTAAAACTGCTGAAATTGTTAGCAGCTAAGATATACTTTAGGGTCATTTGTGTTACCTAGAGAAGGTTAACCAGGAACATTAAGTTTAATAATAGGTCTAAATACTGTAAACACTTAAACTGAATTTCATGAACCCAAGTAAGAGACTATAGCTAGTTTTCAGGAACAAAAAAATTGCACTTCTTTAAGAAATGTCTCTAACTCACTCAGAGACCTTTATTCCTTAGAGTACAGGCAAAAATTATACTACTGACAGGAAATGGACACCATTGACAGCTACTTACAATCTCACATAGCAAGACTAATCTAAACTAATCATCTCTACCTGGGTTTTGTTCAATCTCACAAGCCAGCAAAATTGTTAAGTATCAATAGATATTCACTCTGTTATGCATCAATCCTTGAGCTGAAATGAAACTCTCAAGTCTGTGGAATTCCTATAATTTCAACTAAGTTTTTTACTCTTAACAGAAGAGAAATCCAGACATGAAACGAGGAAACCATATATATTATATATAAAAGGTTGGGTGGGTGACACTCAATCTTTTTACAGCTTACTAAATTTATTCAGCTCTTCACTCCAAGGCACTTCTATTTAAGACCATGATAACATAAGACATAGAAAAGAGAAAATACTTCACTTTGTATTGAAAAAAAGGAACTCAATCAAAAAGATGTAAATTCCTAACAGACATTGATTTATTACAGAATGAAACAATTAAATCAAACTGACGTGCACTTACCTGAGAGAACCACTCTGAAAGATTTTCTTCTTTTTTAGCTTCTAGACCCAGCCTAAGGTATGACAAAAGAAACAAATTTGTGGTGTTCAGCATTTAGATGTGAAACTTATCCTAACCCTTTTTTTTCCTCTTCTTTTTTGGGGGCAGGAGGTATGGAATAATAAGGTGGAAGAGAATGTTTTAGTTTTACATCAAAAGGCTAAGTTTTGGCTGGTGAGAGTTGCTAGTATTTCCTTACCCTAACAAGAATATTTAATAAGAACAGTTCCAATTATTTAGTATAGTTTGAACACTTCTAATTTTCACTATGGCTGTATCAAAGAACCTCACAGCAACATATTAAGAAACCAAACCACCAGTAAGCAGTCCAGTAAGAGCTTAGGATTAACCAGACCTGTTTGTAAGCTGTTCTACTCTTTATTTTAAACATTTCCTACCCAGACAGTAGCTAAAATTTCAGGAAAGACATGCAACTTGAATTCATCATTCATGTGAATGTCAGTCACACTGTTTGAGAAAACTGACCCTACCTCAAAATAAAGATAACCAATAAAACTATAGGACTCTAAAGAAGGTTAATAAACTCATCAGACTCAAATGACAGAACACAAAAGTAAAAGTTTTATATCTCTACAAACAAAGAAGTTTTAAAGGGGGGAAATACATTTATTTCTGGCATTATTTCTATACATAATAACCGCATCTCTGTCTCTAATATATGATTTATGTATATAAAACAGGAAATACATAGTGCTGCATAATACATGCTGTAAAAAGACCTCTAAATTTTCAGCAAGACACAGCAGCACATTTACAGAAACAAATAATAAGCACAAAAACTTGTCAGTGACAGTAACAATACAGGATGCTGAAGTACAACTGACACTAACTAAACCTTGGTAACTTGCTTTTGGCTCAATCCTGAATATGAAAATCAATACAGTTATTTTGCAAATGTCCATACTTTCAAGTGAAATGAGACACGTATCAAACTCTAAATCTGAACATAGGTAGATGGTTGATAGTTCTATCCAATAAGATTAAAGATTGCATCTTTACCTGGTTTGCTTCTTAGGGCCTTGGCCCTCTCCTGATCCATTTGAGGAGCGCTCATTACCACTTTGTCCTTGCAAAGGTTCTTTTTTGGGGCCATCATTTTGCTTCTGTTGCTTACTCTGCTTTTCAGATTTGTTCTCCTTCTCTTTCTTCTTTTTGTCTTTGTCATCTACACCACTAGCAGACACTGGTTTATAGTCAACTCCTGCAACAGACTTATACTGGGCCTTCAACTGAAGAAGTTCTTTAACAGCCACATCTATTTTTTCCTTGAAGGAAAGAAAAAAGTAAGAAAATTATAGAGAAATCAGTGGAATAATATGGGTCTTTAAAAAAAAAAAATCTATATGGCTTTATGGACATTCAGACTATTGGCAGAAAAATCTGTATAAGCCAGTACTTAACTTTAATGTGCTGACATTTTATGGATCATACCTGAGAGCACATCTAATTTAAAAATAATATTTCAGATCCCAGAATTCAAATGCTGCCTATTTTAAAGGTACATTTCTAATTCCCACAATCACACTGAATTTTAAAGAGATTTTTAGATTTAAATACATATATTACATTTTTACACTACAGTGTGTATGTTATTACCTTGTCTGCTTTTTCTGCTTTCAATTTCCTAACTTCATCTCCTTGAAGAGCTACTTTGCTAAACAGGGCTTTAGCTTCAGGAGTATCTGGACCACTGGATACTGTGTTTGATGCCTGAGGCAAAGCCCCCTGAGCTGTTGGTGGGTGTCCTGGCTTGTATTCCTGCCCATTCTTTTCCTTGTAGTCAGCTTTTAGAGAAAGGAGGAGTTTTACTGCTTCATCTATTTGATCCTATGTGGAGGACAAATAGCAAGATTTACTGGTGAGAATTAAAGAGAGAACTGGTCAGAAGCATTGATTATCAGGCTATGAAACCAACCTAACCAACAAACAAAACCCCCCGCAAAAAACAACCCAATATCAAAACTAATTTGCAAGGTGGAAATACAGGCAGAACACCCCCCCACCCCGCCCCCCAGAAGCACCTAAAAAGCTGCAGGTTTGTCTCCTGTTCTTTTCCACAACCATCACTGAATCTGTCTCTGTTTTGAAAGATGTTGCTATTGCTACAGCACACTAGATAGTTGAACAGTCACTTGTCCCAAATACAGCAATAAACAGTAAAATACATTAAACACTTCTGCAAGGTCAATATCTGCCATGCTCATGCCTATTCACCTATATATGAGGGGTTAACTTTGACTTCATATATCTGAGTCAGGAAAGTATCCAGCACTAGAACGGTTCTGTTTGGCATTATCAGAGCATGCATGACCTGGACATAAGGGAGCTTGATCACTACTTGGTGAAAGATTTCCCCCCAGTGGTCAAATGTGATTACAATTACAATTGCTCACTCTAATGCCTATTGTACCTTGGAAGCTTTCTCTGCCTTGAGTCTGCGTACGACTTCCCCTTGCTCAGCTACAGTATCATAAAGTGCTTTGCCATCCACTAAGCTACAGCTTGCTAAGTTACTGCAGCAGACAGGAGATGGAGGTGCAGTGGAAGATAGACAAGAAGGCATTGAGGGTGGATTTCCAGGCTTGTACTCTTGACCTGTCTTTTGTTTATATTCTGCTTTTAAGTTTAAAAGAATTTTCACAGCCTCATCTATTTGTTCCTGAAGCAAGAAAGAAAAAACAGCAGTTGCAGATAAGACAGAGGTGTAACACAAGAGCTAACACAAGCCATTACTAGAATGGCACTAACACAACTGTTGTAATAAAACTTCTAGAGCTATCCTGCAAGTATAAGCTGTTACTGCTAAGTTCTGTGGTAAAACTTTTTAGCCAGAAGGCCTACAAGTTGTACACTAAAGGGCTAACTCAGGTAGTGTAGGTAAGGGCTGATTTCTATGCCATAAAAGCCTCCCATTTAGGTGGCTTAGTCCCCTCCAGTTATAGCAGTCCATGAGCTGCACACTGGAGAATAGTAGCAAATACACAAGCTCTGAAGAAATAATGGTTGTTTGGTCATGATCAGGTAATTCCCAAATTTATTGCTGCCATTCTGGCTCCAAGTTACAGCCCTTCTTTCAAGTTACTGCCTATACTCTGCTTCACTTTATCTTGTATGACTAAAAAACAACTTATTTCTTTTCCATGTGCTAACACAGAACTCATGCAGTCAGCCATATCATCAGCTCAAGAGAATTTGGGAAAGCACTTCATGGAACTAGCTTATGTTTTGCTCCTCAAATTTCACAAAACCTGACGTTGAGTTTTAGCCTAAACTGAAGACACTGTTCCACTCAGAAGTATCCACAGGTAGAACACCTTTGAAGCTTTCTCTGATTTGAGCTTGAGGACCACTTCTCCTTGTTGAGCTACTTTGCTGTACAAAGCCTTGCTGTCTACTGCACATGGGGATGGAGGAGTGGGAACAGGAGAACACTGAGGAGGGACAAAGGCCACAGGTGGGCTTTCTAGGCTTGTACTCCTGGCCTGTCTGTTGCTTATATTCTGCCTTTAGGGATAAAAGGACTTCCACAGCAGCACCTATCTCATCCTGAAAGAAGAAAGGAAGGGGTGAAAAAGAGGAGGAACAAAGATATAGAGACATAAGACTCTCAAGAGTACCACAAATACTTTCATAAAAAGACCTGCAGTTTATGTGCACCTATTCCATCTTCCTAAGTACTTAGTAGAGTAATTCAGAGAAGTCTTCTCTAATAATTTCCTATTTTAACAAAGTAACTCCTCTTAAGGGCTATACAACCCTAATGATCCTAAGTAAAATTATAACAATAAATTAATTTAGATCTTCTCATTTATTTAGATTCTGTGGTGCCATCAAGATACTATTACTATCAACATTATTTAACCACTGGGCAAACTACGTTATTTTCCCTCTCTTCTTGCTCTGCATTAAAAAGAAAGGAAATAACACAGCTAACAGTAGCTATGTTTGCTATGTACAGTTACAGACAGGAAGATTCTCAAAACCATCTGTGGCATTTGGATCTTTCCTTTCTGGTTTTGGAGCTTTGTTTCAAGGTCTAAACAGCAACAATTCAGTCCTGTGAAGTCACATAATTTGACCATACCAAGTTAAACAAATGAAGAAATTGCCAAGGCATTTTAATCTCAAGGACTTGATTTGGATACTTAACTCTTGCTGTTGGGTAAATTCTGTTCATGCTTCAGAGCACTAGCCTCAGAAATATGGGAATTCACCAATACAAACTTGATCATACAAATATAACTGAAGAAGTAAGTATTGGAAAACACAAGTCTTGACAGAACAGAGCCCAGTCCAAATGATGACCACAATAAAAACCCTGGATCCATAAGCACCCATTCACCTCCACAGAGAGAACAGTGGGCTATGCAAACCCAGACAAAACCACAGGATTATTTTAATCATCACCTTAGATGCTTTCTCAGCTTTCAGTTTTCGGACCACTTCTCCTTGTTCTGCTACTTTATCATACAGAGCTTTACTGTCCAAGGTACCAGAGTTCTTAAGCTTTGATGACTGTGAATTTCCAGATATTGGAGGATTTCCTGGCTTATACTCCTGGCCTGTCTTCTCTTTGTATTCTGCTTTCAAGGCCAGCAGTTGTTTCACAGCTTTATCAATATCTTCCTTTGCTGCCTTCCTAGCCTTCAAGTCACGAACTACATCACCCTGTGCAGCCACCTTGTTGTAGATGATCAAGTGACCTTCAGATGATTCAGTACAGGATGGAGTAGAGGCATGTCCAACAACTGGAGCAGATTTTCCTTTTACAGCTGAACTAGCCTTAAAAAAAAAAAAAACAAAAAAAAACAAAAAACAAGCCAAGTATTCAGCATGTAATCTCATACAGAAATAGATGTATAATAATACATTTTATGGTACTTTCCTAAACCACCAGTTTACCTCTTTCTTTGCAGTTTCAGCTTTGGTCTTCTCTTTTGACCCAGATGTTGGCATTTCTTTAGTGTGTCCATCAGGGATGTAAATCAAAATGCATGGGGCATCTTTACAGCTGTAAGGACTATAAAAATATTTATAGAAAATACAACAGTAAAGGAAATAAAAGATGATTATCAAACATTTATTGAAACAAATGAGCTACTCTTTCTAAAAGATGCTTTCACACAACTGCAGGTTTATCTTTGATACACAGCTGTAATTACCTAAATTTACATAATTGGGGATCTGCAATGATTCCTCTTGCATGCACGTTTTCCATTTTTTATAATATTTATATGTTTATGTTATAATTGCATGTAGATGTTTTGATAGCTTGCTAAGAAAGTGTTACAGTTAAGTACTATGTGCACACCCTAATTGGAAAAATGCCTGTTTTATTCTGTAGCACTGCTACTTAATTTCTATACTCCAAATCATAACGAAACCACGACCTTATTACCAAGTCCAGGTTAGCTGGGGTGCACCTCAAGTACCACATACTTGGCTTAAGACAGTTTGAAGAGGCAGGAACGTAATAAAAAATAAAAGCAATGCCAGTCCACAGAGATATTCCTCACAAAGATCATGGTAATGGATAAACATTTGCAGACAACATTACTCTTGCCAATGTGTGTGAAAACACTAAAATACAGTAAGCTAAAGCAAATTCTGTGTCGTCTGTTTAGGCCATTCTCAGGTAACTGACCTCACTGGCTCATAGGGCTGATCACAAATAAAGAATCCTCTCCTCTGAAGTTGTATGATGTCTCCTTTTTTTAACTCCTTAAGGCACGGATCACCAAGCATCAGTTCTTCTTGCTGCAAGTATTAAAAGAAATCAGTCCATGTCTAACAGAGCAAAGGAAAAGCAAGAAATAGAGTTGTAGAAGGATAGTAGTGATTTACTCCTTTTCCAAGTGTCAAAATGTTACTTAATTCCAGAAACAGAAGAACAAGTACTAGCAAGAAGATGCTATGTTGTAAGAATGTATCAAGACAAAAACTCAAACTATTGGTCTCACATGTGTAAAAGCCTGCTAACAACTGAGAATAAACAAGAGTCATATTTTAATTTTGAGATTATGACAGCTTACATGGAAACACAAAAACTAGATACACCAGCACAATTTATCTGTTGAACAAAAAAACAGTTATATTTTAAAAACCACAACTAGAAACATTGAATTAAAACAAAACAAAAAAACCAAAAACAAACAAACAAACAAAACCAACATGAAGTTTTGTGGAATTAAAGGAGACAAAAATACAACTCACCTTGCTATTTCGGTTGATATATTGCTTGAAGTCTTCATCTTTACCTAGAACTGGCTTAGTGATCAGATGCTCATAATTAACACAGACAGTTGGGATGAGGGGTGCATGTGGAGTTTCTGCCAACCAAGTGATCTTAGTAGTTTTTTTGAAGTCCTTATTATCTAAGTTCAACTTGGCATTGATGGACACAATTTTTCCATTTGAATTTCTACAGGAAAACAGAAATTATAATTGTACAGCCTAAATGACCAGTTCTGATTCAATACTGCAAACAAGTGTTCAGAGTTAATTTTTGAAGTGTGAATCATACAAAATGAAAGAGTGCATTCACTGCCATTTATGTTCTCCATTAATTTTGTTGTCTTAAATATCAATATAGAGCAAAAAGCATGAGGAAAAAAGTCTTTGCATATTTATGTTCTCTATCAGAGCTCACTCCATTCTGTGTTTCAACACAACCACTTCAAAGATACCATGATGACATTAAATGGTCTCCTTCCCCACCTCAACAGCTGTGCAACTGAAACTGCGGCAGGTTCAGTTTCTCACTATGCAAAAGCAGTATTTGTTAAGGGGTGGAAAATTGTTAACATTCAGGTGGTTTTTTTCTGTCTGAAAAAGCTGTTTTACAGTGGCAATATTACCACAGAATCATGGAGAGCACTGGATGACAGGGACATGCAGTATCAGGACTGACTAATGATTTCCAACCTGAATCTACAGAAATATACACACTATGCTAACATGCAGCTTCATGGCATATTTCAAAGTAGATTTATAGACACAGAATCATAGAATAGACATATATGGCCAACCATCAATTCTTTACTGTTACAAGCTTCCTGTTAAAACAAAAGGCAACAAAACGCTGGAAAGTAAAAATTAATTTCATCTGCCACTGAACAGGTTACCTGTTTAATTTGGTGATGATGATATTGCCCCAATTTATGAAAGTAACCACCTCTCCCTCCACCAGGGTCTCTGCATCTGCGCCCTCAATGAGGACTCTGGAGCTGTACCACACTGGCTTCAACCCAACGTCAGCATTCTGTGAATAATGGGTTACATTTCAAAGACAACAGATGAAGACAGAAGATGGACAATAACAGTAATGCAAAGCTACAATGTTTTTCCACAACTCTCTCTGGTTTCTTTTACAGGTGTTGTCTGCATTCCCCTGATAATACACCCAAAAATTCCACTGACAGTATATTCCGTTTCCTTAAGGTCCATGCATCTTTAAGATCTCACAGGTAAACCCAAACCTTTTCTCACGTTTCCATTTTGCTATGCAAATTCCCTTTAAAACTAATTTCAGAACTCTCATTTCTTGCTTTTTTATAAAGTTATTACGGAAATATATACGGAGTTTCTTTTAGCTGCATAGATTTGTAAAGACAGAAACCAGAACTACATCACTTCTAAAATATTCAGCTTTAAAGTATCTCAACAATTGAGATAAACTTCTATTTTCTAAAAAGGCTGACAGCTGTGAGTTCAGACTTTCTCAGCTGGTCAGGAGTTTTCAATTTGTCCCCTCTGGTCACATTCATTTCATTACATATTGGAGGGTCAGTATTTATTTCATTACATATTGGAGGCAGCATTTACTGGTACTATCATTGTTTTAATATGCTGGCTGACATCTGACCAAACTTTAGCATCTTTGAGCCTTGAAGAGCCACAACTCTCACTTACATCTGCTCAAAACCTGTTTCCTTGTTATCAGCCAGGGGAAGAGGGGAAACCCAATGTCCAACTCTCAGTTACAAGAAATGGCTACAGGAGCACTCAGAACAACAAAATCAAAACAAAAAAATGAAGTAAAGCCTCAGCAGTATTCACTCATTTCTCAGTGTAAGTGTACATAAGTATAACTAAGGGATGCTTTCAGTGACATTTAAAAACAATTTAAGACATCAGACTCAAAGGAAAGTATCTTTGTTACTTGTAGCACCAAGAAAGAGTTGTGTCAGTAACACACCTCCTTTTAAGGGGATATTACTCTGTTTACTGGATACTAAAAGTATCAAATCAGCAAGTTCTTAGTTTTTGATAAGAACTATTTGCTATACAAATTTAAAAGTCATATTAAAAATCCAGAGATTGACAGAATCAACAGGTTAATATATTACCTCTCCACATAAAACCTGATTTTATAAACCACTTAAAAAACACCTCACTGTTAATGGATAAAGAGTGTTTACTGTATTATAGCCACAGAGCTTGAATAAAATTTAATATTTAACCTCTGTGAAAGTTAGCATCAAATAATAGGAAAACCAGCTTGAGCAGCACTCCAGGCTTGTAATGACTCACCTCTTCTGAAAAGTCCCAGAGAAGCCTTTTAAGGCACCTTTTATACACACTCTATATATTTACAAAAAGAGTTCCCTCTTAAAAGAACAAACGTTTAGTAGTTGCACAGTTTTTGATAATTCTGAGGCAAAACAAAAGTACCCCTTGGATAGATCTCCTGCTATCTGAGCAAGCTAAAAGCAGGACTCTCCTTCCTGACTGTTCCATGCCAAGGTACTTCCCAACCTCACTGAGCTGCAGTATAAGAATATTAAGAGAATAAAGCAAGAACCTTTGGGTGTTTAGCCACTTCTTTCATCTCCTCTTGAGCTTCAGGAATATTTACTGGGACCACTGCATCTTTCAGTAAAGCAGTGTACCGAGGTGCTACTGGGTCTATAACCTACAGGAAACAAATAAAGTAGATCATGAATATATGCCACTGACAAAAAAATAAGATGCTTTACAAAACAATCACCAAAAAAAAAAGAGAAAAAAAAAGAGAAAAAAAAGAAAAATAACATTAACTGGTATTCTTTATGTTACTGCATTTTTTCAAAGTTTGCTTTCATGTCACTTTCATCCAAAGCTACAGAATAGTGAGAAAATAGTGGTAGTACTTTACAATTGCCAATCTTTACTAAAATTCTGAGTAAAACATGAACTGGGTACTACTGACAGCAGAAGTAACCAAAATTATGACCCAATGCCTTACAGGGAAGACACAAAAATGTACTCTGATACAGTTTTATTGAGGACATAGGCTAATACATCTGAACCACATTTTCTTTAGTTAACTAAATTTAAAGCAATAATTTTTAAGTGGAGTTTGTTCTTTTTCCAGCAGTACAAGACCTGATCTCATACTCATTTTCCAGGCCAGTACTCCAGCAGAATCAGTAACAGAACTGGCTGTAGAGGAGGCACCAATCAAGTCTGCAATTTTACTACAGACACATCAGATACTATAATAAGGCAGTACCATAACACTGACTTCATTCGAATTTCTACAACATGAGTTTGGTAAGAAAAAGGTAGCACTAGGAGGTCTTCCTGCATTTTCATTGCCCATTATCAAATCTAGCTGCTGTAGTTTTTCACAGCATTTTTTATACCTGAAATACTGGGTTGTCAAACTGTTCAGAAGCACTTAAATATATAATTCAAGTAAAGTAGTCATCTCAGGCCAAAAGGAGTATCAGAGATCTACCCAGTTAACTGGAAACTGACACAAATGAAAACACCTGCTTTTATTAATACAAAGTGATTTTTTTCTCTCCTTGGTTTATTCCTGCTAAAGTGAAAAGCTGCACAGCTAGACATTTTTCTATATTTTGGAAAAAGTATTTAGCTTCTAGTTACTTGACATTAGATAATAAAGTGATACGATGATATACTTTTATAAGTTAGTAGTCACTGAAGTCAGACACCTAAATGTTAAACATACACTTCGGAAAAGGACTTGTGTATGTATCTCAAAATGTAGGAGTATTATATGATATAATATCATAATTTTGATAATTAAATGAAAATACTGGGTTGTCAAACTGTTCAGAAGCACTTAAATATATAATTCAAGTAAAGTAGTCATCTCAGGCCAAAAGGAGTATCAGAGATCTACCCAGTTAACTGGAAACTGACACAAATGAAAACACCTGCTTTTATTAATACAAAGTGATTTTTTTCTCTCCTTGGTTTATTCCTGCTAAAGTGAAAAGCTGCACAGCTAGACATTTTTCTATATTTTGGAAAAAGTATTTAGCTTCTAGTTACTTGACATTAGATAATAAAGTGATACGATGATATACTTTTATAAGTTAGTAGTCACTGAAGTCAGACACCTAAATGTTAAACATACACTTCGGAAAAGGACTTGTGTATGTATCTCAAAATGTAGGAGTATTATATGATATAATATCATAATTTTGATAATTAAATGACCAAATTTTATAGTGTTATTACCAGGTTCTTTACTCATTAAAACTCTCAAACCCTCATCAGGTGCTAAAAACTACAGGATCACATATAAAATATGAGCTGTCACATTGATAAAGTCTTTGAGCTCAGAATTACCTGTACGCAGCCAACTGGTTTTTCTTATATTGCAGATAGCTTTCAATCTGCACAGCCACATGTAAATAAAATTGGCTAATATATATGGTGCTGTACAAAGAGCTGAGTCAGAGGCCTAAGAAACTCAGTTTAAAAGCCAATTAAAAAAATGAGCCTTGACAGTCCATTGTGGATTCTTCCCCTCAAATCAGTTGTTAGTCACAAATATATTTATGCAGCAACAGAAAGAACCAATTCATAAACCTACGTGTATGTAGCAAATCAAATGCAAAATACACAAAGAAATACAAGACACATGCCAGACAAGCAAAAACTATTTAAATGAACAGATCTGGGTACTATCTAAGCAAAACCAAGCAGGAATCCCAATGCAAAATAACAGGTGTTTCCACAATCACACAAAATATGCAATCCTCATGAAAACAAATCGCCTTATTATAGTGTCCAAGCATCTGCTGCCAAAAAGCAACTTATCATGTCAAGATGCAATATTCCTGATTTGCCATTCAGTCACAACTCCAGCAGTGCTGGCTTGGTCTCCCCAGGCAGAGCACGCAGTACGTTTGTCCTTTTGCCACAGAAAGGAAATGTGGCCAACGTGAACCAAATCGGGGAAAATTTGTGTTTATGTTGACAAATCAGCCAACCCAGAGGTGGGCAGCCTTTGAAAACTAGGAATAATGCATTTTCAGTGGATTTGTAGAGCTCCTGTTATACAAGCAAGACTGACTGTGCTATGAAGCTGCAAAATGATAGCTTATGCTATGTATGCTTACAGCACTGTAAGCTATATGCTGAGGTAAAAAGCATTAAGTAATACCTTCTTACAGATAGCTCGCAGCTTGAAAGCAGAAAAATGAAATGCAGTTTTCAGATCAGATTTACACAAATAACATTATCCTTTCCCATACTACTAAGGAAGGCAAGTAAGTACTGGTATAGAAGAATCAATAGGGTTAGTGCTTCTTCAGGTTAGAAGGGGGGCACATTCCATTTTCCTGAGAGTGCGCCAAATGATGCAGCATACTGCAACTGCTACTTGTTGTGACAAGCACTTCAATGAACACTGGATTCTCTACATATCCTAGAAAGAGGATATCAGGAGTAGCATCAAATCCGAGTAAGCACATACCTTTTTGTTAAAGGACCAGATTTTATCCCACTCCATATTCACAACAGATCGAGAGGAGCCCTGGATTAAAAAAAAAAAAACAACACCACATGAATGTAAATATTCCAGCTCTTAGACTAATTTAAAACAAAGTTCTTTAAACTGAAAACTCTCTATGGTTTGTTTTAATCAAAAACAGTTTTTGAGCTTGCAAAATAAACCCACTCCAAGTAAGAAACCTGCAAGTCCATTTTGCCAACACCTACTCATGTGCACTACCATTGTTGAAGCAATACACATCAAAGTAGCAAAGCTTCAAAGGCAGAAACTTCCCAGTGAGAAGTACATTAAGTGAAGCTTCACAAAAATTTGTGAAACTTATCGAGTGAGATTCAAAGAATCAGAAGAAAACACCCACCTGAGCAGCAATAAACTGTTTTAGTCCTTCAACTGTCATGCCTCTTCTCAGGACACCACGCACAGTGGGAAATCTTGGGTCATCCCTAGTGGAAGACAGTGTTCCATTAGTGCCATACAGTAAATTTTCTAATTCTGCGCTTATCAGAACTTTACTAATACTGCCACACACGAAAGGCACAGCCTCAGTGTATTTTAGTCACTGAATTCCCAGCTAGGTGAGAGCATCTAACTGAGAAGATTGAGCTCTTATCCATACAAAATGTACAGTGAAGGTCAGGTCTCTCAAAACCTAGCAAGGCAAAAGTTATGTCCCTATCCATTATTTCCATTCCAAGGGCACCCAGAAAATGTTACTGGAGAAAAGTGACAATGCTACCTCTTTATATGAGTGATAGAATTCTATGATTTTTTTTTCCTCTTATGGAAGAAACAAAAAGGCCTAATCTGCAATGTAACATTTGAATTTGGTAGGAACATGAATCAAACCTTGCTGAGGACCTAACAAGGGGGCTTAGGGAAGGAAGGGTAAAGGCCATCATAAGATCAGCTACACCTCTAGGGAAAAAAAAAACAGGCAGGGGCAAGAAATGATAAATTTGGCTCTAGAAAAGTGGCTCCATGCATAAACTAGGAATCTAAGCTTCCAATTAAACTGACAACTAGACAACTAGTCCATCAAACACTCTCTGCAGAAATCAAATTAATCTGAAAAAATTAATAGAAAGAAGGAGGGTGAGGGCATGTTGGAGAGAAGTGGGATGGATTTGACTAGATGGACAGGACAAGAAACACTTCAATCCAGGCTCTCTTCTGGCATTTTTTAGGAATTACTCCAATGACAACCAATGACTCAAGAGTGGAAAACATGTAAATGCCACCCACAGCAGAGCCAGAGTCCAAAAATAAGCTGCCTCATGTTTATTACAGGCCATGAATACATATGTACACAGCTACTGTAGAGTAGGAAACAGACACGTTGTACATACACAACCCAGTTTAATTAATCTGTATTCTTTAATATAGTTTAAATATTCATTCAAACTATCCCAAAGCAAAAATAAATGTGCCAGTCACAAGAATCTTAGGGAACAATGCTGACCTAGAGCCATGGAACATACCATCCATCCACAAGGCCTTCGTTGACAAACCATGTGAGCTTTCTCTTGGAGAGAACAGTGTTGTTGAGGTTTAGCCTGCTATACTCCCATATATATGGTTTCCTTATACCCAGAGCCTCAATAATCCAGTAGAATTGTTCATCTCTGTCATGGTATTCAGTTGTTCTCAGAGCATGTGTGACACCTTCAATACTATCAACAATGGGGCAGGCAAAGTCGTATGTGGGATAAACCCTGACAAAAAAGATCTTTAATTAGCAGGGTAGATCAAAACACTTTCCCCCCACCTGAATATTTCAACTTTATATTCATGTATTATAAATATTTCTAACCTATGATCCTGAAATCTTTCAGATCAAGATTAAAATAACACATACACAACTAATTGTCCACAGAAAGATCCAGAAGGCAACATATTTTTAAGATTAAGAAAGCCCTCAAGAAATGAACTGATAACAGCCTTAATATTCAAGCCTAAAAAAAATTACCCTACACTGATAATGTTTTTTTCAAACATATATAAGGACCAAAACTGAAATAATACTCACTGTTGACCATAACGGCTATCTCACAGGCTTTAAAAGTAATTTGCACAAGTTTCAGAAAGTCAAGAGGCTCATCACATATTCTAGTTGAAAAATTAGCAAGTTACAAGTATTAAAAGAAATTTACTAAGGAATTGTAAATGCCCTGGAAAGAGCAAAAGCTACAGGCCACACAAGGAGAAAGTGGACATACTTGTAGGTACTTCCTGTCCGAGGGTGAGGCTGGTTTTTACAACGATAAAGAGTTGGATCCCTCATACATCCATTATTACTACTCATATCTATTTTTGCTCGTAGACAACAAGTTTGTCCATATTCAGTTCCCTTTTTCATTTCTTCCCACATTTGCAGATTCTTATTAACACCTAAGAACAACAAAAATACATTTTCTAAATGAAGCTGATACAGAATCAAGTTTTATTACTGCAGTAACAAAAATCAGTGTCATCCCCCTCTTTGGACACTGGAATTCACTTTCACACATTTTACACTGTGAATTTTTTAAGTGATAATGAATGGTGATGAATTAATGCATACACAAGTTTATTGCCCTGGTCTAAATGTACTTAATCCATCCAGCCTTGTAGAACAAAGCATTAAACACTTTAAAGTCCCTATAAGCACCTTGAAGATGCACAATTTAGTAACCTCACTCATATTTGTTAATAAAAATCAAGCTTTGATACCAAATCAAAAAGGTAAGGAAGCAAAACGAAAGCTTAAAATATCTTACAGTTATTTCTGTGTTTAGATTCCACTCTTTGCTCACGTTCTGCTTTCATCTGTTCTGCAGGAGTATCATCCACATAAGCCTTCCCTTCTTGAATAAGCTTCTCAGCATATTTCATTATTGTTTCAAAGTGATCCGAGGTATATGTAAACTGATCTGGTTTGATGTGCAGCATGGCAACGTCTTCGAGAATAACCTGCCAAGTGTGAAAATGTACACTGTAATATTCAGGAAAGGTAGTTTTCTTACATCTTTATCCTCTTCATGTAAGATGTGGTGTTTTTAATACTCCACTGTCCAGGAAGGATAAGCCATAAGAATAAGTATGAAAGAAAAGAGAGGCATGCACTTATCATTCTTTCACAGCCTATAATCACTCTGCTATCTTATCATACCTTTTCAAAGTCTTCTTTCTCTTTTTCTGGATTTGTGTCATCAAATCTCATAATAAGTTTTCCTTTGAAGTTAACTTGGTAGTGCTGATTTAGCAGGGCAGCTTTGGCATGACCAATATGGAGATATCTAAAAAGAAAATTTAAAAAAAAATATATACACCAGAACTACTTCAGCTAGACTTCTTTATTTGTGAGGGAAGGAGAAAGAATGGAAAGCAATACCTAGGATATTTGCTGAAATACTACACATTTATAAAAATAAATTATGTTTCTTCTACCACAAACTTCGTAGTTAACTGTTAAAAATAACTAAATCGTAAATTATAGTGTTACTATGGATATAAAGATTGGACTGCAATTATCTCCATTTTTACAGGCTAACTTAAACCAAGTGCTGATGTTACCCAGTAGCAGCGACCAGATAATCTGAACCTACCACATTCACAAGAGTGGAATTTTCTGATTGCTGTGTGTTTTTTAATATAAGCTATAAAGCTACTGACATTTTAAACTAAATACAAATCCCCAAATCCACAAAATTAAAATCTCTTACAAAAAGAGAGTAACATGTCCCTGAAGAACAGTGTTTTAAAACACAGGATTAAGACACTAAAAACTACTAAAGTTGAGAATAATGTATGTTATAGACATACATGTACATAATATATAATTTACAATATTTGAGTAACAGTTTATATTGGACTAATAGAGTAAGAAACAGAACTACAGAAGTCACGTGATGCTGAACAGCCAGTTTAATGAACAAATGCAATAGTGGAAATTTTATAGGCCATCAGGCAACTCCAAAAAGAAACAGAAAATGAAAAGCTGGCTGAAAAATGAGTTTATTATACTGGCTCCTCTGTGGGGTCTTTAAGGAGTTTGTGCTTTGGTATTCCACACAGCCTGGACCCCAGGCCCTCCATTATACATTTGGTGTCAAGCTTCCCCAAGGAAGGCTATCCAATACATCTTTCCTTTCTCAAATTTAAGCTTCCTTGGGAAGCACAGAGTCCCTTGACCCAATTCATAAGGACTGCATGTCCACACCATAGTTCCTGGCAGGGCACACACATCCATTATCCACGTAAATGCCATCCTCCTGCTTCTCCTCATCCCACTGCTGAGAAACACAACATCACCTCACAACTAAACTCCCTATTCCGAGTTCAGGCAACAGTGCAATGAAATACAGAGAAGTGAACAAACAGCTCTAGAGGAGACAAACCTTTAAACACTCATTTGGTTTAACAGCCTTGTCTGATAAGCTGCTTAACATCCTCACCTAAACACTTTTTTTTTTTAAAGACAAAATAGAACCTTGTCAAAGTATTCATGTTTCTTACCCACTTGCTTCAGGAGGAAACCTCACAATGACCTTTCCCATCTCTGCACCAGGAAGTTCAACAAACTTCCCAACATCTGCTTTCTTTTCTTTTTCTGTTGCCTTGAAAGGAGACATAATTACAGATTGTATTAGCTCTAAAATCAGATATATAACTCTAGATAATAACTGCTGTATCATAGTCTCCTTTCAAACCTACAAGCTGCCACATTGGACCCCAAATTCATCTCTTCACAACTTTCACATTACTCAAGGCACTCCAAATAAAGATTAATTCTAGAGTTTTAAGTTATTTTTTCTTCAAATCTGGTCCAGGACTAAAAAGTCCCACCAAGTTGTCTAATTTATTCCCTGAAAGAAAACAATTGCTAGTTAAAGTTTTGTACATGATTAACAGATTCAGTCAACTGACAAGAGCAATCTTTTCAGCTCCAATCAGGATCTCAAATTGGGTTTAGAAAAAGCAAACAATATATTTAAAGAGCAGTGCTGATTAAAAGAAGAGGTGCCATATTTCCACAATTCCACCTATGCACTGGACTAGACAACTCATGCCTTTCTAAATTTGAAAGCAACAGCTTGAGCTGTAAACAAGAGTTTACAAAAGTTTAGTTCACTCTACGACTGCTTGCTTTCAGTTCTTAATTCTCTAACTTAAAAAGAAAAAATTCTTGCAGTGTATTCACAGAAATAAAGCTACTCTCCCTGAAGATCTGAGTAAATCTTACCATTTTAACCTTTGGTGTACCAGCAGCCCACTTGGCTCCTACTGACTGGAAAGCACGTTGTGCCTCAAGGAAGCTGTACCATCGCTTTGCATGCACAGGAGCCTTGTTTTGTTCCAACTGCTCTTGCCATGTACTATTATCTGTTAGAAAACAAAGAAGTTTTCAAACTATTAAATTATAAAAATAAAATTATTTTCATCAGCAGCAGCTTTTCAGATTGCTCTTAAGAGCAGCAACATTGAAAAAAATACCAAAAGCTGCTAGCTCTTAATCCTAATTATTCCCTTTATTTTCAAGTGGAATTGGGTTATACTGAATGGTACCTTGTCCCCTACCACCTTTAGATATAGAGGTACGAGAAAATAAAAACCAAATCCATAAAAACAGATCATCAAAGCTTCTTTAACCTCTAAAGGGTATTTTGCAGATTAACATCTACCTCTTTTAATAATTCAAAGTAAACACTGAAGAAATTTCCTCTGCTAAGACAATGCCACAGAAAGGTCAATGCATATAATTTTAAGTTGCACATCTTCATATTGAGGCAACAGGCAATAAAAGATGTTCTTGCAATTATTAGCACAAAAGAAATTAGAAAAAGCTCTGCCTAGGGATTACAGTTCATAACTTTCCAAATGTAACAACAATTTAAAAAATAAAATCTAGGATTTCCTAAGCTATACTATTGCCATCACTAGTGATGCACAGGTCACAGCAGTGTGCATGACAGTACAGTCTGTCGTAGAGCTAGGAGTCACTACTAGCGTCCACAAAAAAGAAAAACTGGGGACTCCTGTTGTATATTGATTGAGTATCAATATATTGATATTGCAAGCCATTGGAACAGGGAACATAAACCAATACCTTTTAGTACAGCCCAGACACACAAATCTGCAAGACTCAGAGAATTTCCCACCAAGTAGGTCCGTAGAGACAGACAGTGGTTGAGTTCTTGGATGGCTGAAGGGAACTGGCTGGCAGTAGATAACTGTGTAGCACTGAACTCCAGCCAGTGGTCAATCTTGTTTGATGGGACAAAAGACAGTTAAAGTTACTAAAGGAATGAGAATTAAGCTTGTTAAATAACTGAATAATACACAATTGATCTAACAGCTGAACAGAAAATATTAACAGGAACATTAGAATTAAACATATCATATCATGACATATGTTGAAAGAATATTTAAAATAAATTATACTGAAAAATTCACCAAGAATGATACTAAATAATGAAATTTAATTTCTTCCTTCAGCATGAATTCAAACTGCTGAAAACATTAACTTCACTGAAATTATTCCCACTGGTAAAATAATAAGCAGTTCTCAGGTACTCACTTATCACAAGCGTATATATAAATTCATCACTGTCCTTTAGCTATTTATATATCATATTTGTGACCTATTTTCTCTTCCTGGTGCTGCTGATGGTTAGTATACCATTTTCCCCTCAGTCCCTATTTTCTCTTCCTCATCTCCTTTTAGATTTGAAGAAATCAAACCCCTGATCTTCACAAGTCCTAGTCCCCACTCCTGCAAAAGTCTTTTCCACTTATCTTTGTACTTAAACACAAAAAAATATTAAGAATTAGGTTGGTTAATAATGTAGCCCTGTATATAAACTGAATCCCTCAATCCTACAAGAGACTAAGTGTCTCTTCCCTGGTCTTATTTCATGTGTAAACTGTTCTGCAAACTGCAACAGGAATCCTTCCAATGTTCGAGCCAACGTGGCAGGCACAGATGTAATCACAACCGCCACAGAATTCAGTTCAGTCATTTGCAGTTGCACGCCAAAACATGTGCACCACAAATGCAGCTGTCCTTGTACTTCTCCAAGTACAGTATTATTTTGGAAAAAGGCAGAAGTGAAAGGAAGTATTGTATCAGAAATACCAGCCCTGCAAGTGTGTTTGCTGAGGTCTGGGCTTAACTTAAAAACAAGGGATTTGGACAGAAATTTTAAATAGCCACAAGATAACTTACAATTTTTAATGCCTCACAGGCAAAGTACTAAGACAATATTTCCCTTGAGACCAGCTATGAGGGTGGAAGAGTGATTGAAGAGTGATTACCACTGGCTTCAAGAAGAAAGACCTGAATCAAATCCTTCAGTTCCTCCCCAAATTTCAGAGAAAGTAAATTTCAATTTGTCTGCTAGTTTCAATTTGTTTGCTAGTATGCTAAATTCAGCTTGTGATTGATTATTCTGAGCTAGACCCAGGAAGAAACCCTGGAAGAAACCAGGGTCAGGGTTTTATCTATCACAGACAGCAAAAAATATTTCAGGATTTCAATGACACACAGTGTTCCTTGGTGTTACACTGAAGTGTTAGAAGATAGCAATGATGGCAACAGAGCTAAGAGAAGTGAGGAGGGAAAATCCCGTATTTTACATTCCAACCTGAATTATTTTATATTAGCGAGCTGTCTGCTTAGGAGTTGCTGTTGCAGGGGTTGGCAAGGGCAACCCTTCCAAAGCTCAGATGTCTCAGTGTTTATACAGATTTCTTAGTCTTTATATTTCTTTATATGAAGGAGGAAGCTTACCAAAGCAAACCCCTCAGCATCCCCACATAGCTGGAACCTCAGTCTAACAGTAAAATGCAGAACAACAGACACAAGGTTAAAAAAAAACCTCCTCACCACCCCCATCCCCCGCCCCAAACTCAGAACAGGCCAACAGAAAAAAAGGGAAAAGGAAAAAAAACAAAACAAAACAAAACAAAACAAAAACCAAGAGACAAGAGAGTGATTCAAGGCCAAGGTGGATGGGGTTTTGAGCAAACTGGTCTAGAGGTAAGTATCTCCACCCATGGGAGATGGATGGTCTTTGGGGTTGGAAATACATGGTCTTTAAGGTCCTTTCCAACCCAAACCAGTTATGATTCTGTGATTCCTTCTCACCTCAGTGTGTTCCAACAGATTCGAGCCATACAACCCAGCAGAGGCAGCCACTCTAGCCAGGTACCGAGCTATTGAATTCACATCAGTAAATGAAACTTGCCTAAAAAAAAAGAGACGGGCAAGGCAAAGGTAAATTACTACCTCCAGTCAGTTCAACTTTAATTGCGCACACATAGCTGAAACATGTGCAAAGCAAACACAAAGTAACTTACAGGCGAGACAACAGGTACCAAGTCACCAGAGTAGAAAAGCAAAAATTAAATAAACCTAGCACAAGAATAAATAAGTCCTTGCTTTTCTATCACCACATGGAATAATAAGCTTCTAAATTGCAAGAATTTTGTTTAAGCTGAAAATAAGAAAATAAGACTGATTATTCTTTCAAATACTAAAATTCTCTCCCCATCTCACAGAATTCATAAGTATAACCTGAGCTACAGATTTTCCAGATTATAAGGAGCTAATCAATACTTGTTTTCTTTTCATAAAAGAAAGATCACTTTGAAGAGGATTCCTATTGAATCAACAGAAGAATTGAGGTCTTCATCATGGTTTTAAGGACTAGCCTCAGGGGAAAAATCCCTGTTCATTTGTTACTTCCTTTACTCAATTCACACTTCACAGAAACCACCCCCTAGTGAACAAACTTGCCTGCCTGTATTTGTTTTTCTATCCAGTCTTCTCCAGATAACAGACTAATTTGAATTTGTTATCCCCATTCCGCTTATAAAAGTCCTCAACACCTGCAGAAAAAAGGCTCTCCAAAGGGAGTACTTCCTTGTTTTCAGGTCACTTTTCTACACTACCTACAGTATCAAAAAAAGCTGTACACTGTCAGAAATCTAGCTTACAGTTCATCTAAGATAAATTAATATTTACTAAAGAGCTTTGGAAGAAAGATGCATCAGAAGCATCGGTTCTCCACATAATACTCATCTCTACAGTCCCACATAGATGCAGATTGCAAAAACAGAGCTCCAGTTGCTTCTAAATCAAGCATTGATATCAACAAAAGGAGTTCCTCTAAGTGTTTTTTTTTTCTTTTAACATTTACTCAATTTAATGGACTGAATGTTGTACCCCAACTTGTCCAACCAAGTTGTCACTTCTGTTCTGTCATTGTTCTCTATTTCCTTTTTTTTACCAACTGCGTCCTTTATAAAATGAAAAGAATTCTGATAGCCCTTAAGCCTCGCAAAAATCAACAAAAGTTCTGAAAATTATACAGAATGTACTTGAAAATTATACAGAATGTACTTGATATATTAACAATTAGAATGTGTGCCATTTTTAGTACAAATGGACTAGCCAGTCTCATTAGGCTAACTGCAGTACAACCTAAGGAATACAGTTCATTGAGAGGGGTTTTTTGGTTTGCTTGTTTTTAATTTTGCTTGCTTTCCAAGCATCTAGGATCCAGTATATATATAGAAGATCCATAAAATATAACTGAAACCAAAAGTCACAGTAGGGTGTTTAAAATATACCCTACTGTGTAATTGAAAATGTTTCTTATTCTAATTTCCCACTATCAGATTTTAAGGGAGCTTTTATAAACTGAGAAAAACAAATAATTTCCAATACATTTTCACTTGAAAAGTCTGTGAAATGCACTTTTACTGTTTTCACTAATTCATACCAAAACAAATACCCCTTGATTACTCAAGCAAAACTGAATACATGTATGAAATGGGAAAATGCTACTCCGAGTAAAATCTTACTTATGCTTTAAAAGTTATTTTCTTCAGGAAAAACAAAATACTCCTACCCAAACATCACTAATTTACCTCTTTGAAAAAGTTATGAAAGACTTTTTGCAGCCAGTGCTTGCTAACTCCAGAGCTAAGTAAGGAAGAATAAATAGGGACAACGCAATGTTACAGGCAAAGAGTAGCTATTGAGAGTGACATGAAATTCCACATAATTAAACACCAGGGCAAGTGTTCAAGAAGACAAGATGGGAAAAAGGGACCAAAAAAATAAAAGCAAACACATAATAAAAAAAACCAAACCACAAATTATTTCCAACCATAATAAATCAATTTTGAATTTATTTGCAAAAAGCTTTTGCTTGATCTGCTTAGGAGGAATAACTACTCTGAAAAGTGCATGTGGTCACCACACAAAAGCTGTACTGCAGCTTGTTTTGACAAGACACAGGTACACCAAAATTCTCCACAAAGCCATCAGCACTTAGCAGAGTAGTTTGCTTAGGAGCTATTTCTACATGAAGTTTTGAAGCTAAGTCTTCAAAAATAACCTTTAAAATAAAATTCATCAACTCAAATGAGCGATAAACCGATTAGGTAGCTGGCTGGCAGCTAATTTCAGCTAGTTAGCAAAAATTTTGTCACCAAATTTTAACTGAGCTTCAAAACCAAACATAGAAGAATCACAAATAAAATGTTCATTCTTGTTCAAGTGAAGTCATTAGAACTAATGGATTCCCCCCCAAAAAAAAAATCAAAGTCTGAAACATCCCAAGTGACTTTCACATCATGCCAAAACAAGATGCTTCAGCAGAACTGATGCCATGAAATCCATTTAGCAAAAGCACTAGTTGAGATACAAGTTCAGCTGACGCCTCTCACATTGCAGATATACTTTTAACAGACTTTAAGGCAGAGAATCAATTTTCAAAATTATTGGACAACCGAGAAGGTAAAATTAATGCAATACTGAGGTCTGGAATAACTTCTTGAACATAAGCCAATGCCAGGGATGAGAAGACACTATCACACAAAAATTTCCAACTGATGGGCCCATGATTCTGGACATTATCTATCTGGGGCCAAAGTGCAGAAAAAAAGTGTTTGCTTTACATTTCTGACAAGTTCCATTACAGCCAAAATGAGTGGTTTTGCAATGCAGTAGGAAGAAGGCATGGCAACGCTAAATTATTTAAGGAAATTAATATTATTTCAAAGCAAACCATATACATTAAAAATATTCCAATTGTCACAGGTGCACATATATGTATAAACACATATACATATATGCTTATATTTCAATATATATTGAAATATACATACATACACTGCCCAAACAGTCAAAGTAAAACAAAATCTAAACCTGACGAAGGCTACTTAAGAGGAAAACTTTCTCCTGCAAGTAAAAAATATTCAATTAACTTTCTGTTATATAAGCTGTATCACACATGTGCAAAACACACACTGAAGATTATTAAAGCTGTACCAATTAAATCCCAATATAACCTGTCATATTTCTCTTGCTTTCAGGGAAAACCACAAATTCAGTGCCATCACCAGGCACAGCAAAAGACAACAAGCAATATCAGATTATGCAAGAACCCCTGAGTTCAGGTCTAACATTTTAAACAGAAAACAATATTTTCAACCAGTAAAACAACCATGACTGAAGGCTGTGAATCTTCCTGTGCTTTGATTTTCTGCAAATATATGTACATAGTGACAAGCTTATTACCTAAGGTTAGAAGACATGGAAATGCTCAGTGTTAATTTATGAGGAACAAAATTACTGCAATACAAGATGAAATATGCTGCTTCTATAGTGATTCTACAGACAAGCAGGTATTCCAGTCTATGATGCATTGGTGGCTCTAACAGCATCTTCTACTGAATTAGCTGACAAAATGAGAGTTTGCTAGCAACTCTGTGAACAACAGAATCCCTCCAGTCTTCAAAAAAAAAAACAATCAATGTTCAAAAACTACAGTTATAATCAGTAATTCCTAATTCATCATGGTGTTAGCATACTTCAAGTTACAACTGCAATGCTCATATATTCCTTACTGCAGATACTAAATGCCAGAGTTTCCACTGATATGTCAGACAGCAGGATCTCTCCTCTTGATATATCCCGATGTCTTAACTCATATGGAATCAAAGATGAAAATGCAGCTTCCCAAAACTAACAGTGTTAGTTCTGCATTTCTGACAGGCATTTGATCTTACTGAGATTGTAAAAACCATCTTTGTGTCCCAAAGTTGAAGTTATCCATTCCAATGGCAGAGTATTTTTGGAAGGACAGACGATAGATTACTACAAAAATTTCCAATATTCTTTCTACAGTGTGCAGGTGGATACACTGAATAGCACTGCACAGTTAATTAGCACTTTCCTGACATAACATCATGCCTTTGCTCATACACACACGGTGGGAGCTTAAAATTATGTAATCTAAAAATTCAAATTTCAGTCCACCATACATGTACAAGGAATCTTATGTTATCAAACCTCCCTAGAATAAAACAGCCTTGCTGTTGGTAACCCATGGCACCACACAAAGTCCTAAACAGTAAAGTGATTGGTACAGCATAAATACTGTACACAGGTACATGTAAATAAAGAGTTTTTTCCATAAAGATCTAGTTCATAATATACTGTAAATGTTTTGCCTATGCTAGAGACATCAGTAATGCAGTGATGAATAAGACTGTGGTTTTTTTTCTTTCCCTCCTACTTCAAAAGGTTACTGTCAATGCTACAACCACGTGATTTTTAAAACTGCTGACCCAAAGGTAGAAGGAGAGGTGCAAAGTCACTTACTCAGACACAGAGAGGATGGTTTCTTTGCCTTCTTGCACTGAAATTTCAACATCATTCTTCACATGCTCCACTGTCAGCAGAGCTCCTTGAAAAAACAAGAGAAAAAGATACTGAACTTCTGTCCAGGAGAGATACCTTTCATAGTTACAACCAAGACTTAACATCTATCCACTAGAACCAGGTGACTGAACTGACTCCTTCAAGTGAGAATGCCCAGGGAAACAAAAAAATCAATGTTCAGTCTCATGCAAGAGGCTTCTTCTTGGCAATCCTTACAGCCTCAAATTGATAATGTCCAGCACACAGTGATCTGCAGTGAGCTCAGAAAATGTCAGCTGCAATACATTTTTGCTTCCTAAGGGTATGGTAAAAATTAATCCTGTCCCCCAGTTATACGAGGAGAATGTAATCAAAAAGCTCTTAATTATTGAACAGTATTACTAATGTACTCCATTCCAGCCCTGACACATGCATCAAAGGAGATCAATTACTGAATATACCAGCACTTTCTGAACAAGGACGCGACTATTTTTAACCTGATTTAAAGTTTATGAAAAGATTAGCCATTCAAAACCAAGAAACTTTATCTGTGTAAAAGCAGGGTTTTCAAAGTAGTTCACCAGCAACAGTAAAAATTATCTCCAGGAAGAGAAGAATTACTGAAGTTTTTAGGCTACACCATTGACTGGAAGACAGCTCTACCCACATTCCAAGAGGCTTGATGCAAACCTGCTCTGATCTCGAGGCTCTACAGCACGACACAGCAGCTCAAAGCACCAAGCTCACTTGGCTGTGTTTCTGCACTGGCTCTGCTCCAGACTCAGCTTGCTGAGCATAAGCAGAGGAGCTTGTGTTCTCTAACTTTGCCCAGAAGCACGTACAAAGGCAGCAAGCTTTTGCATAGGCAAAACAAGGACTGGAAACGCACCTAACCTGCTACAGTCTCCACAGTGTGCTGTGCACTTTACCTTCCCTAGAACAATGTTCCTGCCACCACAGCAGATGACACTACAAGCTATTAATACACTGGCTTAAATACAAACCACTGGGGAGCTAGGAATTCCCTAGCTCTCACCTCTTCTCAGCTGAAAACCCTTCTTCTGGCATTAAGAGTAAGTCACGGTTCTTCTTCTCATCCCTGAGCTATCCATCTGTGAAATTCAGGTTGACATCCCTTATGCATTACGTTAGTAAGACGTGTAAGTATTTTAATAACATGCACGGAAATGCTTTGAAAATGACAACTATTATGTGCACCAAGCTATGTAATTAATACTGATGACATTAAAAACTACGACACTTTTCTGGCACAGCAGACACAATGAAGAGTATGAAGTAGGGATGAGTAAGATGAGTGCGCTTGTCTCCTTGATATAAATGTTTCATCTGTAATATGTAACATTTCTGACAAAATCATGCAATCTCCTGAAATAAACCTCCAGTGCCACACACCAGCTGTCAAACAAAATAAGTCTCCCTAAACCTGATGTTAATCATAATTCATATTGCATCATTTTCTTTTCTGGCAAATCAGTATAAACAAGTCTCAGGAGAAATTTTATGTAAAATGAGTATGTTTTTATACCACGAATAAGTAATCATGCAAGTTGTATTCAACTCTGAAACGTATTTGGAAGTAACAGCAAAAAAAAGAAATCAATAAACTACGATGAAGAATAGGAAGAAAATGTATTTTAAACAGCTACAATGAAATGGAAAAGTTTTATGGAACGCATACAAAAGATTGTTTCCAGATGGGTGGAAGTGCAATGAAGGAGGTTCTCACATTTTTAAAGGCAAAATAACATCGAAGGGCAGTGAGCAACTGAGAACTTCGAGCCAGCTCCCCAGAGGGGAATTTTAGCAGCAGATTAGAACTGAAAATGAAAGGTAGCAAGACAGCGCAGAGCTCACGAACAGGCGATGAGAACTAGGGCTGCCTTGAACATTCAGCCTCAACGTGCCAAGTCACCCGAGGCTTCACCGGTGCCCGGGTTCCTGCAGCCAGAGTTATGTCCAGCGCCGGCCGCTCTGCCACGGCCCGAGCAGCTGCCCAGAGGGACCCGCAACGGGCACACGGCCCGGGGAAGGACGGGAGGAATGGGAAGGACGGGAGGAATGGGAAGGACGGGCACGGGGCCCGGTGCCGCCTCGCCCGGCTCCGCACGCGGGCACGGCCGGCGCCGCATGATGCAACACGGGCGGGAGGGAGCGAGGGAGGCGGGGAGGGGACAGAGCCCAGCCAGACGCCCGGCAGAGCGGAGTCGGGCGGCGTGGGGCGAGGCCCGGCCCGTACTTACCAAGCGGAGGACTGCCCGCGTCCACGGTGAGGCTCAGCGCCGCCATTCCCGCCGCCAGCGCCGGAACCCAGGGAGGCAGCGGGGCGGGGCGCGCAGCGCTGCCAGCTCGGCAGGGGCCGGCGCGGCCCGGCAGGACCCGCCCCGGGGCGGGAAAGCGCTCGTCACTTCCGCGGGAGAAGCCGTAGAGGCGGCGGAGAGGGAGGTGAGGGTGGTTGGTTGGTTGATGTGTCCCTTTGTTGCTGCGGCCCGGAGCCGGCCGCCGGTGACGAGCGGGCGGTGCCCGGGGTAGTCCCGGCCGCGCCGGTGGAGCTCTGGGGAACCGGCCGGGATGAGGGATGGGTGCTGGGTGAGGGCTGCCCTGCTCCTCAGCAAACCAGATGCCGGTGCTTCACTTCTCACGGCTTCTCCGGCTGAGGGCTTTGCGGGCGCTGCCTGCGAAAGCCCTTAGCTGGATGTCTGGCAGCAGACGTGGAGGTGCCTCCAGCCCCTTTTCTATGTGCGATGATCCAAACAAATCGAGCAGCGCAACACACACCGACTCGTTTGAGTGCGGTGGTTTCACTCCTCTGGTTTTGTAGGATGTCACTTGTTAAACTTCTGACAAACCTGCGAATTTTGCAGCGGGTCATATGAGTCCTAGAATATCCCCAGTGGGAAGGGACGCACAAGGATCACCGAGTTCAGCTCCTGGCCGTGCACAACGCGGTCCAAGCGCTTTTGAACTGGCAGGCTTGGCACTGTGACCACTTCACTGGAGAGCCTGTCCCAGTGCCCAGCCACCTTCTGGAGCCTTGGGATGAATTACAAAATGCTGTGTCACCGAGTTTTCACAGGAGACTGGCTCAAATTCAATTTGTTGCAAGGACAATGCAGTGCCCCTGTGATCCCGCCCCCCCCATCTATTTTATAGATGTTACTGTAGCACCTAATGTGTTAACAGAGACGTTATCAAATGCTTGAATGGTGAACCACTGCTTTTTGTGCAGTGGTAGTGGTGTAGCCAGAGCACGACTGCACATTACGTGCTGATTTTTATGCTTGATTCCTGCTGCTGGATTTAATTTCAACTTTCATTATTCTTCTCCTGTGTTAGCAGTTCTACAGTTTCTGTAAGAATGGAAAGTATTTCCACGAGTTTCCATACAGAAGTATCTTTACACACCATGCAGAAGCTGATACATGCTGTAAATTCTACTCCCATTCAGGTAACTGAATGAACCGACAGAAATTACAGCAGAATTAGAAATAGGCTTATGCTGAAGAGATTTTCAAACCTATTGCAAGTTCAGATGAAAATAAGGTTATAGAGGCAATAGATGAAGATTATTCAGTGAGTTCTGTCTTTGGTATTTTAATGATTGCATGGAAAGAACAATTAAGGCAGGCCTTTGTGTTGCCTGAATTGTTCTGCATTTTATCTTAACATGTTTTGCAAATTCACATGCAGATTTTGATGGGAATGTCACAGCATATAATTCAAAGAATCCTGTATAAATTAAAGGTAAAAATTATGTATAACAAGCAGTGAAATTATTGTACTTGCTATGTGGTTCAAACTTCAGTCACAATCAGTATGTGGAATGACTAAACTTTTAATGGGCCAAAATATGAAGAAGGTTCTAATTAAAGCAGGCTGAATCTGCCCTGCATGCTCTTACCAGTTATGCAATTGAGGAAGAGAAGAAAGGTAGGCTTTAGATCAAAGGATTAGAAGCACACATTGTTCCTATATATGCAGCTCTAATCCAGTGTAATGCTAGAATGAGGTAAATGCTAATCTTGCTAGTTTATCTGTAAATGTTAGGCTAAGATGACCTCACTAAGGAAAAGATTCCTTAGATTCTGTTCCATGTGTGTACATGGAGAGATACAAACATATTAGCAAGGGTTCATATCTTTTGGTGGCAAGATGTTCCTGCTTGTTGGAAATGGAGTCAGCTTTAAGCCAGTGAAGACATATTGGTGTAACCCTAATGTGAGGAAAGGATCTAATCTAAGGACTCTTAAGTGGAGTTGTTTAATATATTGTATAATGACAGGAGAAAGAAATAACTTGAACACACTGGAAAATTGAATTTCAAAACCTTCTTTTTATGGAAAAACAACTTTTTGTACCTTGAGGCACTCATTTAAAGACAGTTTGTGTGGATGAAGAGTGTAGTTATTTAGAAGACCTAATCTTGTGGGCAGAGAGGAGGTGAGAAAGGGTGCAGTGCATCTTGCAGGCTACTTTGGCATTCATGGTGCCAGCAGAGGGTAAAGAAAAAAATCGTGTGAGAGCTTAGGGATTCAATCTTTAGGTAAGCAAGCAGCTGTGTTCAGACATCCTCCCTGACAACACCTGCCTGAGAACCTATGTCACTCTTTTCTCCACAAGGAGAATAGAAAGAAAAGCAAATCTCCATGTTGTCTGTTGAAACTGGCATCTCTCCATGGCATGCCTCAGTATGTATCACATTGATAGGGAAAAGGAGGCCCTAGGACTGTCATTTGAGAGTAAGGGACTTGAGTCACAAGATCTGGAGAAAAGGGGCAGAGATGCCTCGCTGGTTCAAGAGCGTAATTCCTAAATTCAGCTTGAAGAGACTTCAAAAGGGTTTGTCTAAGTTTCCAATTTTAGTTAGTGATACGTAATATACTACAGCTTCTCTTTTGTGTTCAAGTGGACTGGGCAGTTTAATCCTGCTTTCCTAACAGCCACACCTATGGGAAAGCTGACTGAAACAGAATCTCCAAAGTTAATTTTAGGTGATCTTGGCCCTGTTCTTCTCCCCTCCTCTAACATGCCTGTGTTCCACAGGCAGGGGAAATGGTACTGTCCACTTCCTCAACTCTGGGGCTGTTGGAAAGGTTTATCTCAGAATTTGGGCATGGAAAATTTCAGAGTTTGGCTTTTCTGTTATTCCCAAGTATGCCAAAGTGTCCTTGGCTTTGGGTGCCCAAAGTGCTCCAAGACTGCAGTGGCATAAACCCTGAAAAACCATTTCAAATCATCGTAGAGGTGCCCTTGTCATGTTTCCTTGGGTTCCCAACTGAGCTGTTCTGAACTCTGATGTATGTGCACTTCACTGATCCTCAATGAATCCAGTGATCCATGAACCCTTATTTGAGATTTCCAGGCCCAGCTGCGTGTCCTGCCTCCTGCAAAACTCAGTGCAGACCAAAAAAAATTCAGATGTCACTCTAAGAATCAAAACTGGCAACTTTATAACAAATGAGATCATCCATCTGGGGAAATGCTTAGTCCATTTGTATTTAACACAATAACCCTTACTGACGACAAAAACCATTGAGCAAGATCAGGTACATGACTTCACGTGATTTTGTGTCCAGAATATGAAGATGATTTTTGGTCTGCAGTGTTACGATTAGCAGTATATTACACTCAGTCATGAGGAAGAAAAACTCCCAAAGAATATAGAAAACAACTGCTGAAGAAACGTGACTGTTTTGATGTTGTCTGCTCAACATAGCCAAACAATCTGATCCAACAGATACTTAGAGATTCTGTATAATTTTGAAATTATTGAACACCGTACTGAAAGAGTTCAGATTCTATGAAACAGAATTTCATGCTCAGTCTTCTTCTTCCTTTCTTTTTTACCAAGCTCCTTTTCTCAGCCTTCCAGGCCAAGTGAAGACTCTTCCCTGCTTTAAGGCACAAGAGATTCTTTCACAGTGTTTGGAATACGACTGGCATAGTAGTCATAATTTCTCAAAGTGGCAAGGACACCAGCTGAATTCATGTGTTTCACCTCCTTGTTATACTGAAATGAATTTCCACAGATATCAGTTATCTTGCCTGAAAAAAAAATAAAAATATTCCAGCAAAAAAGAGTTGGAGTCTATTAGTTCAAGTGAAATAACTAAAAGCAGTCTTTGTGGTACACATGCCTGTCTTCAGATGTGAACTCTCTTTGCTTCCATTTTATGTACAACAGGTTTTATGTTGACTGAAATCAAATAACTAGTGGGTTTTTGTTGGTTTTTTTTCAACAATACTTAAATTCTTTGTGTCTCAGGAAAAGGAAAACGTGTCTCTCTCATGGATTACTTAAAATGCTTCCTGAGTAGCTTTTGCATTTGCCATTGACAAGCAGTAAGGAAAAATCAACAGGCCAAGTAAAAACCAGGGTAACTCTATACCACACACTCTAACATAATGTTGAAACACCCCACCTGGTTTTAAATGAGATTTTAGGAATCACTTAGCAAGAGCAAGACAGATCTTTATTCAAGCTAATTTAAGCAGGAGATTCCTATCTACCAAAGATGCTAAATACAGCATTGTGCTGCCCCAGATTGGTTGGGTTGCTTTGTGCTTGGGCTAACCCTGTTTAAAATCGTCCCACAGTTACAAACACTACAGGCTGCAGAGGAGTTCAATAGTGTCATTGTGAAGGCTGTTATCCTTGCTTGACAGAATTTAGGAATCAAGCCCCATAATTTTAGCATATCGTAAAAGCCTATTAATGTGAAAAGAATAATTAAAAAAATAATACTACTTCAAATCCTCAGTAGTGAGTCTTTTCATAACTTTTCAACCCCTTTAGCCCCTAGATAAGTGAAGTGTCTCATGTTGGCTGGAGACCATTAATTCTATTGAATTACATTAATGACTCAATTTTGGAGTTTGTACATCCAGAGAACAACAGCATGATTTGACCTATTTTTGTTGGTTTAAAGAATTCAATGTCCACATATTACATAATATGTTACTAATAATAAACTACTATACTCAGTTAGTAGGACATCAGATTTTACTGTGAGATAGTGGCCAACAGAAAAAAGAAAGGGACATTTGTTTTGAAAATATTGAAATGAATATACCCCAAATTTAGGGATTTGGCTTTTTTAATTACATGACAGTAATTCACACATGCATTGTCATTTTTCTTTCAATGGAAAGCATAACTAACTTCAAATTAACGCAGTTTTACTTATCCTGGAACTTTGAATGCTATTAACTTACCTCCCACAGCATGTAGGATAGCTTCAGGTGCACATGTATCCCACTTCTTGCACCCAGGACTGGCAAATACATAAGCAGATGCTTTACCTTCTATGAGTTGAATGATCTGTTAAGAATAGAGTTGCAATCATTGCAAAGGATTTAGACATTTAGAAATTGGTAGAAATAACACCAGGAAGTGGGGATTAAATCTGTTTATTTAAGTACTGATAGTCAGGAAAGGAACACCAGCCATTTCTTTATTTATGTTACAATAAATGTATTAAAATTTGGAAGCTACACTATATCACCATTCCCAGCTCAATATTTTTGATCATTATAAATACAGTCTATAGGATGAAAATCTGCTCTCAGTTTCAGAAACAAGAATTCACTTCTTGTGCAAGTACTAAAAAAATAAAGGGGAAAATATATACATGTTGTGTTAGTGCCACTTTGGGCCTTACACATGGTGGAGAAAAGAGATGAGAGGGTGTGTTTTTGACAACTATGACAAAACAGCTTTAAAACCTATACTAAATGAGTGTTCCCTCTACCAGAGAAATTTCACAAAGGAAATATCACAGTGCACTTATATTTTTATCCTTTCAAATGTGCTACTAGATAGTTGGAACAAAAGCTGTATTAACACAAACAGGAGGACATGTCTAATAATTGAGATTAAACTGAATTCCCATTTATTCATTCTGGTCTTACAACTTTTTACTTTCCCCCTAAAAACAGAATACTGGGGAAAACAGACCTCAGCCATGACCAGTATGGCCACTGGTAGAAATACACCTGTGTCAAATTCTCTCAACCTCACAGCAGACTGAATGCTAGGAACAGTTGTGCTGGGTAAGGTGGAGGAAGTCTTTCCTGTATGTTATGCAAGTAAGCAAATAATTTCTTTAGAAAGTATTTTTATTTTTTTCCAAAGGTGTTACCTCCCAGTAAAACCAGAAGATTTGGGGTTTTCATACCTTGTTTCCTGCTCCTCCCACTCTGATGACGTGGTCTGGGTTCAAGGCAGCGATGCACTCATTCACCAGGGCACTGCTGTGGGAGCGGGTGGTAACGACGATGTGTTTGCCAGCAGGTGCTTCTGTCAGCTGAAAGCCAAAGGCACCCATGCCCAGCACTCCCCAGATTGTCCTGCCCAGCACAGCATTAGCTCCTGCCTACAAGAAAGGCACAGAATGATGGTTTATCACACTGACCAGCAGTTAAAGCACAAAGAGAAAGGGTACCTAGATGCATCTTGGCATATCAGGGAGTATAATATTAATATTGGGCTGTACATTTAAACAGTGGCACTTAAAAAGGACTACTTGAGAGCCCAGAGTGAGAAATTAGCTCTCTTTCCCTATAAGGCAATGACATCATTGACCCTTTTCTTATCTGTGACATTGTGGTGGTGCATTACATCCTGCCTCCAGTGACTGGCACATTAATATTTGTATATTTCTGTACTTGGGGCACAATCTGTAATTGAAAGTATCTCGTAATTTGAAATATTTTGTGATCCATGTCATACAAAACATGACAGCATTACATCAGCTCAAGGGCCTTTTAACTCCAATAACTTTAATTAATCAGGCTGTATCATGAGCTCCCCCAGTAATACTGAAATAATCACCAAATATGTAAATGTCTGTAGGCTGGCCATCCTGAAGCCTGGCATGATACACTCTAACTCAGCTGTCAGTGACAACTTATGCTTGGTTTATTTAGGGCTGCAGATTTATAGCAGTTACCACACATTGCAAATGTACCCATTGCATGGATTTACTAAAGAATTTCTAGCAAAGACTGCAACACCACTGACCTGTACTTGTTTTACAGTAGATACTTTATAAAGACTGTAGTAATTTGCACAGTATATACATAATATATACTGTATTAGTGCATTACACTAGCCTCATGATTCAGTATGGTTGTTAGTAAGTTCCTGACATTCAGTTCCTGGAAACCAACAATTAAAATTACATATATTTAGTTTAAAAACCCCAATACCTTATATTACAACAATAACTCCCTTACATGCCAGTTTTCAGTTGCAGGTGTGCTAACTGAAATAGCTTAGGAGTAACATTTAGAAATCACACGATGCTTCTAAAGAAATCAATTATTTAATACCTCATAGTTGTAATATGGCTGATTAATAACTCCTGCTATTGCTTTGCCTCCATAGGCAATTCCAATGAGAACGGTTACATGGTCAAGGAGACCTGGACAGAAAAAGCAGGAATGTAGTTAGGCTTGAAGAAGAGAAAGATCTTAATAAAAACATATACCTTCAGTAAAAGTCCACAAATCAATATGCAGAGTGCTATCTTAAAAATTCAAATAATAATCAGGATTCTCAGATGTTGGTATCATTTTTTAGTCATTTAGCCTTGAGATCTGCTAAAAAATGCCCCAGATAGAGTTCTTTTAATAGAGCTATGTTATAACTAACACATAATGAGAAGGACATTTAAAGATACAACTACACAGCAGCATATGATGACATTCTTCTGTAATTGTGGTGGGAGTTCTTTAATGCTATTCAAAACTAGCAATTTACTGACATCTCTCTCCCCAAAAAGGGAAAAAATCTGTCTAAAAGATTTTATATTAATCAACTAAAACATGCATTAGGAGGCAAAAGCATATTTCAGCATATTGTTTCTTAGAGTATTTTCTTTTTATTTTTTTCTTTTCTTTCATTTTGATGGTCTATTTCTATGGATAGAAATTGGGCTTTGCTGAGAACAGTTTCTTCCCATGACTGAAAAATCGTGATTTGTGGGAGGATATTTGTTTTATTTTGAAAGGCCTACAAGTACAGCTGTGGTATTTGGGTTGTTTGAGAGGAAGATGTAAATACAACTGAGCATATTCCTGTTTGAAGGGGAAATTTAGTCCTTCAATTCAAAGATATACAAAATTGTAAATTTAGCTAAAAACTCAAGACAACCAGCCAGCAGTCAAAGGCAGCTCGTTTCTCTCTGAAGTGATAAAAACTGGTCAGCACTCAGTAGCCTATCAGGAATATTCAGTACTGCTTAGAGCTGAATACAGTGAAAAAATACATTCCAAGCACTCAATAACTACAGAAACATCAGCCTTATGAAACCATATTGTAAGCAACTTCTATGATAAACCTATGGATATGTATGCTACTTTATTACTATTGCTATTTTTTTTTACCAAGAGAATTAAAAGAAAATCCAACCTTCAGTGTACTCCTTGGTTCCATCCAGGGGATCAACCCATATTACAAGCTTTAAGAATTAAAAAAATAAGGAAAAATTAACAAATACAAATCACATAAATTACCACACAAAGTATATATTTTACTTTAGTGCTTTTATTTCCTTATGATAGTAACGAAGTGAAGAGATCCAAAGTTTTAACAATATTATATGGCTGAAACCTATGATAGTATTTTACACTAAAAAAAGGGCATAAATATTGACTGGAATGTCTCAGTAAATCTCTTAATAGAAGTATGAAGGATTAAGCTGAAATGTAAAATGAGATTACTTTCATATGCCCAAACTAGATTCCTGCCAAATTAATTTGAATCACAAATTGTAAGAAGCCAATTTCCATTTCCCATTACTGCAGACAGGAGCATGCAGCATTTGTAGCTCTGGAGGTGTGATTCTCATGACTACATTTCAGTTTTCAAACAAAAAAGAAAAACTGGCAACATTGAAAAAACCTTTCTTCATTGTACACTCTTAGCTAAAATCAGAAAGTAGTATAGATAATGCAAAATATTAAGACATAGACATAGCATTACCTCTTCCTCTT